CCAGGTCACACAGCAGAGCCAGGCCAAAAAGATATTTTCCTGACTTCCGGCCCAGTAGCCTCTCCCTTGTGTCATGCTACCTCCCACCTCTGTGCAGGAGAACTTTTCTGCTGGGAAAAGAAGGTTTTAGCACCCCACCTGCTTAGCTTCCTTCTCTTCTGATGACGGGCCTTCCTTCACTCATTTCCCGAATGCCCTCATTGTGCCCTGCTCGAGAATTCCAGATGACTAAGGCATGCTGCTTACCCGAGAGGGGCTCAGAGGTTGAGTGGTCTGGAAGCTTCTGATTTCTACCACTAACAAATGCATCTTTTTTTAACTGGTAGAAAAACGCTCTGAGGCTAATTTTTTTTAATGCGCTGTTTTGTTTGCTGCTGTCTTAATTGTTGCCATGTTATATTTTATCGGTTTAATGTTTTAATTTTGTGCTTGGGCCCCGAGGCAATTCAGTGAAGGGTATGATTTGGAAAATCAAGGATATAAAGAAATTGTCCACAGAAGAGGCAGCCTCCCAGGAGCCGAGGACAAAGCATAAGTGCCTAAAATGAATTTTATTAGGAACAAAACAAAAATAAACAACGTGTTGCCAGACAGAAGATATCAGACCATCTTGGTTTTGTTTTTTAATTTAATACCAGTTCTCCATTTCTTCCAAGGTCAGCAAAGGACTCACAACACGGTTCCTTCTCCATTGCCTTCTAGAAGCCTTCCTCATTTCTGCTTCCAGCCCTATACTCACGGTGTGCGCCCTGCCTGCCCTGCCCTCCTCTCTTCTTCAGGAAGCAGGCTATAACCACCCTTGCACTTGCCAACGTTTATTGACTGCAGTTGGGGATAACGCAGCCAGCAAGACAACCAGGAGTCTGCCTTCAGAGAGTTTACATTCTAAGGAACGCATTCTCAACCGGGGCGATAACGCCCCCACGGAGGGTAAAAATTGGTTCTTGGAGGGGTGAAAAAAATTGACCATCTTACAATGATTTGTATGCTCGTCACCCTGTTCGCTTTCTCAGTGAGTGGCCCATCCAGCCACCCAATCAGCAACCTGGGAGCTCATGGCGGCCTCGTGGTGGCCCAGTCCACAAAGGCTTCCACTCTCTCCCTGAAAATTGACGCCATCTGTCTTCATTCCCCACCTACCCAGCCTAGATCCGAGGGTCCAGAGATTAGGCACCATTTTTGCCAACAGTTCAGACACTGTTCCTTTTTTTTCCACCCATCTGGCAAAGCCCTAGGGCTGGGTAAACCCTCTAAGTACTTTCCCCTGCCTGCACCTGAGGAGGTGAGCTGTGAAGGGGGAAATCACACAGCTGGCAGGACAGGACACGTAAATTAATGATCACCAACCTCAACTGGGTTGTCAACACTATCAGGCCATTGGGGAGTTTGTGGGCCAGTTTGCTCCTCCACTCTCCGAATGCTCATTCTCCTCCTTCCTTCAAACTCCTCACCACCTCTTCCTCACTCTCAGCAGAAGACCTTGCCTCCCACTTTGCAGAAAAAATAGAAGCTCAAGATGAAATCTCCCTTAACATCCCACTACAAACCTACATCTACATCTGCACCCATCCTCTCTTTGTTCCTACTTTTGGTTCTAGAGAAGTCATCCCTCCTCCTTTCCAAGACCAGCCCCTCTACCTACACGCCTGATCCCATCCCCTTGCACATGCTCGTGCACATCCCTTGCTGATTATCTCCCCTATTTCCTAAACCCTTAATTAATCTCTCTCCCCTTCAGGCTTGATCTGCCATCAGCCTGTAAACAAACTCAGGTCTCTCCACCTTATAGCACACTTCCCCCCAACACACACTTAGACCCTGTCACGGCATCTCGCTCCTCCCCTTCACACAAAAACTTCTCAAAAGATCCACTGCCTCCCTCATCCTTCCTTCTCTCATCAGACCACTGCCATCTGACCTTCTCCGTCACTCCACAGAAGTAGCATTCCCTACAGCTACTGACAATCCCCATGCCTGTCAGTAAACCAAGGCCCATGGTTCTATCCTCATCCCATCCGACTCTCAGAGCAGTCCGCATGGACACTTCCCACTTTCCCAAAACTCATCCCTTGGCTTCCTTCCCTCCTCCCACTCCCTGGGTTTTCTCCTACCTCTCTTGTCCATTCCTTCTCAGCCTGTGCAGGCACATCCTCCTTTCTGCAGCCTTAACCTGTGGGTGTGCCTCAGAGCTCCAGCCTGGGCCACTTTCTCTTCTCTCCATGTTCTTCTCCTCACTTATCATCTCTCTACTGACAACTTCCCATTTTCATGTGAGTCCAAACCCAGGCTTCCAAGTGCCTACTCAGCATCTGCACTCGGTGTCTCAAAGACATTTCAAGCTCAGCGTGTCTAAAGTGGAACTTGCACTTTTCATGTCCCCTCCACACCCTCCCCTTGTTGCTCAGCCCCCATCCCAGTCCTCTCCTGTTTTCCCCATCTCAGTGAAAGTCACTGCCTGCCTGTTTGCACAGACAGCTCAGAGTCCATCCTAACACTCCCTCCTTACCCTCCATTCCAGCACATCTCTATGACAATTTGACTTCCTGATAACTTTGAAACCTTTCACAGTTCTCAGCTCCACTGCCACCAGTGCCACCCCCATTCTATTCTCCCTGGATGCCTGCCTGCACTCCTAACCCTGTCTTCCTGCATCTACTCATACACTAGTATTCCACTCTCCACTGGGCATTCACACAGGTCACATTAAAATTCAAATGTCATTCTCTTCCTCTTGGGCCCACACTGTCAGTGGCTTCCTTCACTTTTAGGATGAAGAGAAAGATCCTTAATGTGGAATCTGGCTCTGCCCACCTTCTACACTCCCCAGTCCCCCTGCTTTCACTCTAGGCCCTGCTACAAGGGCCTTTTCTCACCTCTTCTCTCAGCTATACCTTCTGCCTCAGGCCCTTTGCACAGGTTCTTTCCTCTGCCCAGGATTCTCCCCACCACCATCCTCCCCTACACATAGTTCAGATTTCCTCACAAATATCACTTCCTCAGGGAACCCTTCCCTAACCCCCAAGAAAAGATAGCTCCCTCCTTCCTGTTAATGCTTTCCCAATAATGGCTTACACACATACAAGCACAGCACTGTTGTTGGGAATTCACCTGCGCATTTCTCCTTAGAACTCATTTACTCCTCATGACAACTCTATGATGTAGAAATTATAATTATCTCTATTTTACAGATGAAGAAACTGAGGCACAGAGAAGTTATGTAACTTACCCAAGGTCACCTAGTTAATAAGAGGCAAAGCCAGAATTTGAACCCAGGCAGTGTGACTTCAGCAGAGCTTTTAAACACTCTACTGTTCCATAAGAAAACACTATCCTTTTCCTTCTGCACTTGCTCACTGTTTGTAACAATGTATTGGTATGACTATTCGTTTAGCACGTTTCTCCCCCGTTAGACTGTAAGCTCTTATTGGGGTAGAGACTGTTTCATCCCCAATAGTAGGCCCTCAATAAATATTTGCTAAATGGCTGAATGTAGATTAGTCTTCTCTCTCTTTCTTACTCACTGCATTCAATCAGTCACCTCATCCTGTCCTGTTTCTTCCTGGAGCTGCAGTTTCTAACCCTAGGAGGTTCAGGTACGTGCTTATCTCTGTCCTGAAATTGGATGGAAATTGTTATGTATCCATACACATTCAACATTTTCTACAGTAAAGGCTAGGTGGTTCATGCTGTCTTCAGATTCTCAACAGGGCCATGAAGTTAAGAACAGCTGATTCAGGGCCGGCCCCGTGGCTTAGTGGTTAAGTGCACTCACTCTGCTGCTGGTGGCCCGGGTTCGGATCCCACACCGACGCACCGCTTCTCCAGCCGTGCTGAGGCCGCGTCCCACATACAGCAACTAGAAGGATGTGCAACTATGACATACAACTATCTACTGGGGCTTTGGGGGAAAAATAAATAAATAAAATTATTAAAAAAAAAAGAACAGCTGATTCAAATATTCTCCGGCCTCTCTCATCCTCTCCCTGCCAACCTCACCTCAACAACTACGATAGCCTCACAGCTAGTATTGTTCTCCACAAATCCATCCTCCATGCTTTGGTCATAGTAATCTTTTAAAAACATAAACCCAGGTCACCCTCCTGCATTAAACCAGTCAGAGACTATCTATCGCCCTTGGAGCAAAAGTGCAAAAACTCTGCTGGGGGAAGGGATGCTGTAGGCCCTGTCTACTTCTCCATCCTCCTGTGTCCTCACTGGTTCCCTCTTCCCCCCAACTCTATAGCCCAGCAGCACAGACTGGGTTCTATGTTTGGGTTTCTGGCCTATGCCCCGTGGCTTCTCCTGTCTACCCTCAGGAGGTGCCCTCTGCCTGGGGTGCCAGTCCTCTTCTCTGCACCTAGAAATTCCTATTCCATCTTTAAGCCTCCACTGAGACGTCTCTTGGGGGTTAGGTGCCCCTCCTCCCTGCTCACATAGGCTGTGCCTATCCCCGACAAAGCACAGAAGGCACTGAACCATAGTTGCTTGGTTACCGACTATCTCTCTTGTCCCCGTGAGCTTTGAGGGCAGCCGCCATGGCTTATTCATTTTTTTATCCCTCTATCCTAACCGAGCGCTAGCCCAAGGTACCGTGCTCAATAATGATTTGTTCAGTGAATGAATGAATGATGACAAATAGTGCCTGAAAAAAGTGTGAAATGAATAAATGAGTGGGTAATTGGAAGTTTGGGTCTGGAGAGAGATGCAGATGAGGCTGTTCAGACATGAGTAAAACCCGATCGCAGCCATCAGAGAGCTAACAAGCAAGACTAACCTCTTCAAGGAACAAGTCTGAAGGATTTCAGAGGGAGTTACCCAAATCACGGCCGGCCCAGGGGTGGGTCCAGGTCTAACCACGCCCTCTCCCCGCCAATGGGAAATCTCATTGCCCTCCGAGTCTCCGCCCCTTTCACCCGCCGGGGAGGGGCCGGTCACGCTACAGGAGACTACATTTCCCGGCGCGCCGCGCGGCTCCGGCGAACGAGAAGCCGGAAGTGGGGCGCGCGAGGTCTAAGGGCACGCGGGAAGTGGCGGGCGGGGATTGAGGGGGGCGTGCAGGTGAGACGACTGGCCTGGGGTCGCTGGCATGGCCGAGGCCAGGAAGCGGCGGGAGCTGCTTCCCCTGATCTACCAGCATCTGCTGCAGGCGGGCTACGTGCGCGCGGCGCGGGAAGTGAAGGAGCAGAGCGGCCAGGTAAGCGGCGCGCGCCGTGTGCGAGGGCCGCGTGCAGGGTCTGGAGAGCGGCGGCCCGCACCCCCTGTCCTGGCTGCCTGGCGGGCCCCCGGAACTGGATCCCGCGGTGCTCGGGGACGCGGCCAGGGGTGCCGAAGGAGCCGCAGCTTCTGCTCCCTCCTGCGGCTCCCAGTCCCTCTGGGCCTCAGTTTCCCATCTGTGCAGTGGGCGGGCCGGGACCTGTGATCGGATGCGCAGGGTTTTGTAATTCCCGCGCCCCGTACCTCCACCCCTTTCCTGGTGGCGGCAGTTTAAAGTTTCCTAAATCTCGAGCCACGTGGCTCCGCGTGGCCCTCTCGGGCGAGAAGGTTGCTGCGAGTCTGAGGGATGGATAGCGACCAGCCCCTGGGGGGAAGGAGAGCGCCGGGAGAAGGGGCCTGTGTCCCCTCAGTTGAGCTGGAGCTCAGGCCCTTAGCAGTCCTTCGGTGTTGAGTCGGACAGCATTGGGATTCGAACTTGTGGTGCAGTCATTTCTTACTCCATTGATTCTTTCAGCAACTGTTAATCTGGTGCTCAGAGCACACGGTCCCCCAGCCCTCCTAGAACTAACAAAATCTAAGTCTAGTAAAGGAGATAGACATAAATCAAAGAATCCCCAAAATAACTGTACACTTAACACTACATTAAGTGCCAAGAAAGAGAGGCATAGGGTGCTAAGACAGGGGTGGCAGATTGCCCTTGTCAGCGATAGCCAGGGCTGCTTTCCTGAGGGAGTGGATGTTGATTTGAGATCTTAGAGAGGGGAGGTAGGTATTCCAGGCAGAGGTGCAAATGCCCTGCGGTGGGAGAAAACTTGTGTAGGTACTGGCCTCAGTAGAGCTTGTGGCTTAAGTGTGAGGTACAAGGGTGATAGAGGTCCCTGGGGAGATAGTGGGGGAGCTGGCTGGAGCCTTACTGTAGGCAATTTGGGCTTCATCTAAAGAGCAGTGGTAAGCCACTGAAAGGTTTTAAGCTGGGATGGTGGACACTGGCCTGATTAGTCAATATGGTGTAGGCTCTGGTCCTGATGCTTGCTCTCAGGACCTCCCAGGGAGACTAAAGGGTGATGAGCCCTAAGACGTTATCTATGCTTTTCGCAACCCTCTCTGGACCTCAGTTGCCCGTCTTACTCCAGTTATATCCCTTAACAGCTGAGAGGGGCAGGAGACAGCGCCCATTCGTTGGAACATTTGCCTAGGCAAAAGTAGCCTGCCCTTATGGAGCATACATTCTAGCAGGCGCAGACAGATGACAAATAGGAAAAAGAAGCGAATGATATAGTGTGTCGGGTGATGGTGGGTGTTAGCTATAAAAATAAGGCAGGCAAGGGGGATAAGGAATATTAGGGTTCAGTTATAAATAGGATGGTCAGGAAGCCCCACCAAGAAGGTGGCATTTGGGCAGAGACCTGAAGGAACGGAGGGAGTGAGCTGTGTAGTTAGCAGGAGAGAACATTCCAGACAGAAAGAATAGCAAGCCCTGATGGGGGCCGGGTGGCCTGAGACGTTTGAGGGACAGTGAGGAGGCCAGTGGGCCTGGGTCGCAGTAGAGTGAAACTGACGCTCGCAGTCTCTGTGTTATTGGCTCATGCGCTGGGGGCACTGACCAGGTTGTCTCATTCAGGCCTGATAGCAACCTGCTAGGTGGGTACTGCCGTTGTCCCCATGTTATAAAGAAGGAACCTGAAGTTTGAAGAGGTGAAGAGATTAGTCCAGCCAGTTAACAGAGGAGCTCTGCCTGACACCAGGTGCACCCTCCTGGCCACTCTGTACCCCCTGACACTGCCCTTGCCCCACATTGTTCACTCAGCCTCCTTGGGGCACTTAACACCCAGGTTCTTGACATTTGCACCGAGAGTGGGCCCTCTGGCATCGGCTCCAAAGGCCTAGATTCCAGCTGGTTCCCTCTGCTTCTACCAAGGGACTGGCATCATTTGGTTCCAGTCTCTTCCCAGTGGATGAGTGGACTGCAGTCATGCCACCCGGATGCCTCTGGTGTCTGGGCTGTGGTTTGTACTGCCCTGGGGAGATTGACCAGCCTGGCCTTTAAAAGCCTTTTGAAAGGTCAGAGGTAGAAAAAGCCCTGTCTCGTGGCCTCTAAGCATAGAGAGTGGCAGGGAGGCTGGGGGCTGGAAAAATGCTAGCCTGGAAGATTCCAGCTCTAGTCGGTCAAAGGTACCTCTCACCAACATGTTGTCTTAAAAGGTTTTAGCTGGAAATACTTGCCCCGCTTGTCTCTGGAAGGTTTGAGTGGTACAGGCAGGGCCAAGCAGACATGTTTCCCAAAGCAAAAAGACCCCTTTCTCAACCGCTTGTCTGTGCAGGTCAGGAGGTCGTGGAGAGTTGGGCCCAAGGAGGACCCTTACTGTGCTGGAGAGTTAATTGCTGTTTTCTCTTTCCTTGTTTGCAGAAAAGTTTCCTGACTCAGCCTGTAACCCTTCTGGACATCTACACACACTGGCAACAGTAAGTCTGTTGGGGCTGAAGGAGTGGAGTAGGGACACGCCGAGCTCTCGGCTTGGAATAAGCTGGGATACTAATCTGGTCTGAGATCTGTCCCTATAGCCCACTGTGGACGCCATTATCACCCCCGGGAAGCCAGGTCACATGGATGTGAGTGGGAGAGGATATTGAGAGCTGTAATCAATGTCTTTGAAGGACAGAAGCTTTCAGCAGCTTGTTATTCATTTAGTCAGCAAACATTTATTGAGTACCTACTGAATGCCAGGCCCTGTTCTAAGTATGGAGATGTTGTCGTGAGTGAGACAGACATGGTTCCTTCTGTCCTGGAGCTCACATTGGAGTCGGGGAGGGAGGCATGCCTCAAACAATGAAACAAACAAATGTAAAATTACAGTGGTAGTAAGGATTACGTAAAAGAGGGACCTGGTGCCGAAACCTCATAAACAGTTTAGCCTAGCCTCATTTGGGGGTTTAGGGGAGGCTGCCCTGAGGTGACCTTTGATTTGAGAGCTGCAGGGAGTCGGAGAGTGAACTAGGCAGTAGGATGGAGAGGCAGGTGGAGTGTCGCTGGCAGAGGGAACCGCTGGTGCTGAGGCCTGTCGCCACGAGCACGGTACAGACAAGGCCAGGCAGTCGGCAGGGCCCACCCCACGCGAGGCCTGATCATCCGTGATGAGAAGTTGTGTCTTTACCCCAAGAGCAGTGGGAGCCGTGGAAGGCAGAGAGTGATGAGATCACTCTGAGTGGGACTGGCTGGGGCTGTGGACATTAGCATCCAGGCAAGAGCTGATGGGGCTTGAGACAGGACTAACAGAGGAGGTAGACAGTGGATTCCAGGAATATTAGGGGATGAAACCAAGATCTGTGGATGGTTTGGAGAAGCAGTCTTGTTGACTCCCAAGTGTCTGGCTTGTTCATCTGGATGGAAGGTGGGCCCGTGCATGGAGCTGGAGGGGAACCTGATTTGGATTTCAAGGACATGTTGAGTGTGAAATGCCTGTGAAACATGTAAAACAAGGAAGGGGGAATAATCCAAGGGCATATCAACAGAGGAATAATTTGAGAATGAAGGAGGGGATAATCGTTCTCTCCATGAACTGGCCTGACCACAGCCAACTAGGGAGTGAAGGACCTGCAGTCATGCCCCATGAGGAGTGATAAAGAATACTGAATTGTCTAGGATGGAAAAGAGGTGGCAGAGGGGCGAGTGAGGGACCACTGTCTGCACATCTTTGAGGACAGAGAGAGTGGCTTGTTCTCTGGGACCCATATGTACCTGCTTTAGGAAGACAGGTTTCAGCTTCTGAACATGCCTTTGGTCATCAGAACTATCCAAAAATGAGGGAGGCTACAGCGGAGTGGTGAGCTTTCTGTCATCAGAGGTGTGTGAGTAATGGCAGGGATGCTGTGGAAGGGATCCCAGCTTCCAGGGGAGAGCTAAGGCCTTTGAAAGCTCTGTCAGCCCTCCGTTCTTGGCCCTCCTCTGCTGCTAAAGTGTGCTCAGAGCACAGGCACACCCCGCACTTCCTCTCCCTCACTCTCTCCGACTTGCCCAGGTGTCTGGGGGTTCTCACAGCACTTCCTTCCCCGGAGAGCCGCTTCAGTGAGCTGCACCACAGCCCTTCCGTTCTGGCCTCTTCTTTTTTTTTTTTTTTTTTTGTGAGGAAGATCAGCCCTGAGCTAACATCCATGCTAATCCTCCTCTTTTTGCTGAGGAAGACTGGCCCTGAGCTAACATCTATTGCCAATCCTCCTCCCTTTTTTCTCTTTTTCTCCCCAAAGCCCCAGTAGATAGTTGTATGTCATAGTTGCACGTCCTTCTAGTTGCTGTATGGGGGACGCGGCCTCAGCATGGCTGGAGAAGCGATGTGTCGGTGCGCACCCGGGATCTGAACCCGGGCCGCCAGTAGTGGAGCGCGCGCACTTAATCGCTAAGCCTTCTGGCCCGTTCTATGGGTGAGGGTTGCCGAGTGGGACAAGGACCTCCCATCCACCAGAGGCACTAGCCTAGCGGTTCCCAGCAAAGTTCAAACTCAAGGGCAAATGTGGCCTCCCTGAGTCTGTCCTCATCTGTAAAATGAAGATAATAATAGTACTATAAATAAAGTGCTAAACCTGGCCATTGGAGGTGTTTTTTTCCCCCAATATTTATTGAGCACCTGTGATGAGCCAGGACTGTTCTTGGTATAGCTGGGAACAAACCAGAGAAAAATCCCTGCCCTTGGCACTTACGTTCTGTTGGGAGGAGAGAGGCAGAATGAGTTGATTCGTGTACCCAATGAAGCCTGTTTTTGCAGGAGATTCCCAACAAGTGGCCTTCCTGGGAACAGGGGACCCAGGCAGCACATCCCAACTGTGGCAGAGCAGTGTCTGTCCCTGTGGAGAGCATGGGGCATTGACTGTGACTCCCTCTGGGTGGGGTTGGGGGCAAAGCAGATGATACTTGAAAGTTCCAGGGACTCAGCCATCTGGGTGCTTCTCCTACCGTGCCCCAAACCTACTCTTTGACCCTGGGCAAGTCACTTAGTCATCCATTTTTCGAGATGCATGCTATGCACTTGAGGTACTGTAGTGAGCCGGAGAAGATTCCTGCCAGCCCCTCCTCCCTGACGGTAGTGGGGGAGTTAAGCAGGAAGTAAGTAAAACAACAAGAGAGAGCAAAGTGCTCTGAAGAAAAGGAAACGGGGTGACAGGGCAGGGCATGTCTTGGGGAGGGGGCTGATCAGGGAGGGCCTCTCTGAGGAGTCTCTGTTGGAGTTGAGGCCTGAAGGACAGGAAGGACCTGGGCTGAGTCTTCCAGGAAGAGGGCACTGCGGGTGCACAAGTTCTGGAGGAGGAAGGAGCCTGGATGGTTCTGTGAAGTGCCTGCAGGTGCCTGCACATGTCACTCGATGACTGTTAGTTGCTGCTATTATATAATGATATCCACCCTTCCTGATTACAGTCATGCATCGCTAACAACAGGACACGTTCTGGGAAACGTGGCGTTAGGTGATTTCGTGGTTGTGCAAACCTCATAGAGTGTACTTAGACATCCTAGGTGGTGTAGCCTGCTACACACCTGGGCTATACGGTACTAATCTTATGGGACCACTGTCGTGTATGCTGTCTGTTGTTGACCGAGACGTGGTTATGTGGCGCATGACTGTATTTGAAGACTTATGGACAATTGTAAAAACACTTTATGAAACGAGTAAAAATACAGAATTGTATCTACACTGCATTCTCATTGCTATTGAAACTCTCTTTATGCACATTTCCTTTAGGGAAGGTGGGAGGATGTGGGAAGGTCTTTCTTCTCAAATCTGGAGTTGTCCTTGTCACCAGTTGGTATAGCCAGTCACCCTTGTCCTACAGAACCTCGGAGGTTGGCCGGAAGCGGAAAGCAGAGGAAGATGCAGCGCTGCAGGCCAAGAAGAGCCGTGTGTCAGACCCCATTAGCAGCTCGGAGAGCTCGGAAGAGGAGGAGGAGGAGGCAGAAGCCAAAACCTCCAAAGCCAGTAAGAGTCCTGCTGTGGGGGGAGCCCCCATTGTTGGTGCTTGTAGGGGCTCAGCCCAGGGCCCTGCACCTTTTGGGAACAGGCTATTGGATATTGGATTGTTTCTAGGGAGAATCTCCTCCAGCTTCTCCTTCAGCGAGCCGTGGGAAGACCAGGATCTTTTAGAGGGAAAATTGGAAGGGCCCCACATATCTGTTTCAGTATTTATTTGAGCGCTTCCTCTGTGCCAAACACTGTGTCCCCAGGTGCTGGAAATCCAGTGGTGAACAAAACTTAGATGGGCCCTTACAGTCTAATTTGGGGTACATATAGTCAGCCCCTCCAGTGGGGCTCAGGAGCTGCTTTCTTACAAGCCCGCTGGTGGTTCTGATAAAGATGAAAAGAAGGCCACATTTTTAGAAGAATGGCTAGAGAGATTTCAGCGAGGGCAGCTGGTGGGCACCTCTTCTGTGTGCCTATGGGCTGCTTCTAGAGTTGCTGATCTTCCAGGTATTTTGAAACTGTAAAAGTTAGCACTGAGAGGCGGTCCTGGGCATTCTGGTTTCAATCGTTGGCAGGGGTGACCCAGTGAGGACTTCACAGCCCCTTCACCCCAAGTTCTCAGGGCAATTTGTGCTTTAACCAGCAGCAGTCCTAACTCCACAGAGGAATTGGTGTTCTTCTCTGCGTTGTATTGTTTTCTTGCTTACATAGAAGGTAATTTCTTAATTTTTAAACATATTTTCTGATTATAAAAGAAATATAGGATTCATTGTGGAGTATTCATTATAGAATATATGAAAATTACTTTTAAAAAAGGCAGGAAAAATTACCCATATTCTTGCCACCTACAGTTTGGCAAATTATTCTTCCATTTATTTTTCTTGAGGCTTTTTTTTTTTTGCTGAGGAAGATTCGCCCTGAGCTGACATCTGTGCCAGTCTTCCTCTATTTTGTACGTGGGTCGCCACCCCAGCGTGGCTGACAAGTGGTGTAGGTCTGCGTGAACCCCGGGCCACCAAAGCAGAGTGCCCCGAACTTAACCACTAGGCCATGGGCGGCCCCCTGAGCATGTGTTTTAAAATATTTGAGATCATATTGAATGTATATCTTATATCTGGCTTAATCTTTTAAAATTATAAATGTGAACCAAATTCACTTGGAACTGTACAAAAGCATGTGGAAGGAAACTAGGAGGTTTCCTATTCTCCTCCACTGCTCCCATTCCACACCCTAAATGCATCTCCTGTTGGGTAACCTTAGAACTTTCTCCTTTGCACCTACAGTTGTACAGATAGCCATCCAGACATGCATACGTCCATACCTACATACTATTTAAAACAAAAATTGTAAGATTTCGTACTGACTGGCTGCTCGATATTAATGAATTTTTTTTTCTTTGAGGAGGACTAGCCCTCAGCTAACATCCGATGCCAATCCTCCCCTTTTTTCTTGAGGAAGATTGGCCCTGGGCTAACATCCGTGCCCATCTTCCTCTACTTTATATGGGACGCTGCCACAGCACGGCTTGACAAGCGGTGCGTCAGTGCGTGCCCAGGATCCGAACCTCGAACCCCAGGCCACCGAAGCGGAGCATGCGCACTTAACTGCTGCGCCACTGGGCCGGCCCCAGATATTAATGACTTTTTAAAGCTGTGATAATAGAATTGTAATTATATTTTTTTAAAGAGTCCTATCGAGAGAAACATGCTGAAATATTTGTAGGCAACATGATATGATGTCTGGCATTTTCTTCTGAGTAGTACTCAATAGGGGAGGGGGACTGAGAGGACAGTTGAGCTAGGATTGGCCACAGGTTGATGATGGTTGGGGCTGGGTGGTTCAATGTACTTCATCTCTACTTGTGAACATTCTTAAGATTTTCCATAGTTAAAGAAGAAGAGATGGAGTTAAATGCCAGGAAAAGAATTAGATCATGCCATTCATCTCAACAGCATCCTTTTATTTTATAGCACATCTTAGAAATCTTTCCCTATCCGAGATCTAACGAGACCACACCCTGGTGTAAAAGCACTGGGAATCTAGAAATCTCAACATCTAATCAGGTCCCCATCTCGTGGTGCAGCTACCTGTCCACTAAAAAACAGTGTAACTTCCAAGCAGCTTTCTCTGTGGACCTGGGGCTGGCCATCTGACCACTGCCGCCATCTTGCTCAGTGACTTTCAGGGCCACAGTGTGGTAGCCTGTGGGACTGGCACCCCTGGAGTTGTGCCGTGCCTTCGTGGTATGTGCAGGAGGATCATGAGCCAGTCCTCTTTCCTCTGGGGGCCTCAGTGTCTCTGCCACCAGGGAGTTGGGACTGCATCAGGGCACAGATGGGTAGCTTTGATGTTGCCTCTCTCTCTTGCTCCTGGTGGACGTGGCTGATGCACCACAGAGCTTCCCCTCAGGTCTGGGCTCAACCTCAGATCCTCACGCCAGCACCAGGCAGCCACACCACTTGAATTGTTAGGCGAGCTGAAACCTGTGTGCTGTTCTTACATGAGAAAAACCTCATCTGGCTCATCCGGCGGGTGTTTGTGTCTTGCAGCCCCAAGACTAGCGTCTACCAACTCCTCAGTTGTGGGGAAAGTTTTGCCTTCAAGCATGAAAGAAAAAGCCAAGGTGAGTGGGACCCCCTTCCCAGCTGTTGCCTGTGGGAGCTGAAGTGCCTTGTAGGGGACAGTCCCCTGTGTCAGGGAAGGATAGGGTTGTAGGTAATTGCCCAACCTGCATTCAGATCTCAGCCTGAGTCACCAGCTGTGTGATCTTGGTGAGTCCCTTCACCACTCTGGGCCTCAGTTCCTTTTTCTGTAAGATGAGGATGATGCCATGGGCCACTGGGCACGTTATACACCTGGAATAGACAGTTTCTTTCCTCCTTCATCCCTGCATTCCCCTGTTCACTTAGCAAATCATTACAGATACAGTTATATTCCAGGCACTGTGTGGGGCAGTGGACACACTAGTGAATGAGACGCCTATGGTTCTGAAAGCTCTAAAAGCATTTTCTAGCCTGGAAACTACTTAAAAAGTAGGACATCATTTTCTGGTAATCCGTAAAGCAGTGTTAGAGACACGTAAAGGCTGTGTTAGTGGGAATTAGCAACAGTGTGTAAGAATAATTATGAAGGGCAGTGATGATAACCACAACGGACTGCTGCTGACCACTCTGCAAGTAATACCATGTCCCAAGACTTGTCACTTGGTTCTCTCCACAATTCTATGAGGGGAGGTACTGTTTTTAGCCCCCCTTTAAAGATAAAGAAACAGACTGAGGGAGGTAATCGCCAAACTCCCATGGCTCAGGAGTGGTAGAGTAGGGTTCCGATTTAGTCTGTGCCCTTAGTTCACCAGGCCATACCCAGGTGTGTCTGTCACTTGTTCCTCTGTAGGCAGAGACCAAGAAAGCCAGCAAGACGGTGAACTCCACACCACACCCTGCCTCTGGGAAGGCAGTGGCCCACCTCCTCTCTGGGAAGTCCCCCAGGAAATCAGCAGGGCCCTTGACAAATATCATCCTGGTCTCAGAAACTGAGGAGGAAGGCAGCGTCCCAGCCCTTGGAACCACTGCCAAGCCTGGTGAGAAGCCCCTACCTCTAGGAGCCAAGCCCCCTGAGTTTGGGCTGGGGAGGCAGGTTGGGCACTGCTTTGTCAAGCTCTGGGACATTCTGGAGTTCTAAAGGGTTGTCGTCATGACAGTGAGGGCCCCACACCTCAGGCCGTTTTCCCCTCTGCTTGATGAGGGAGGGTCAGCCGCAGAGACAAGTCAGGCTTTGCCGAGGGAGTTTGATTGGGCAGCCTGGGTGGTGTTGGAGCATTTTCTGGTTTATTGCTCTCAGGTGAGGAAAGGGCCCACAACGCAGCCTTAGAGACTAAACCAAGAGGCCTGGGTTTGCCTCAGTTTCTCCTGTAAAATAGGCATTTGCCCTGCCTGCCTCAGTGTGATGATGGAAGGAGATTTTCTAAGCCATCAGGTGCTGCTGCACGTGTGTTCAGACCTACTGTGTCCCTTATCAGGGCCTCAGAGTTGTGCAGGAACACAGGGATTCGAGTGGTACCCACCTCAGCTGTGGGGCGTTAAGAGAGGGTAGAGCTGACGCTCTGCACGCGAGAAGCGAGCTCTTGGCACCTGGCTTTGATTAGTTGGCGTGGTGGAGTGCTGGGGAGGGGCAGGTGAGTCTGGAAAGGGTGGCCCTCAGTCCTCTCCCACTTCGTCCCTCAGGAATGGCATCGGCAGGCCAGGTGGACAGCTCCAGTGAGGACACCTCCACCTCGAGCGATGAAACATACGTGGAGGTAATTGCCACCCATCCTCGGGAGCTGCCCTCTGCAAGCCTCTAACCCTCCCGGAGGCCTGGCCAGGGCTTCACACACCAGTGGCACCAGATCAGTTCAGCAAGTGCTTCAGGGTGACCAGGAACTGGAAAAGCTGAGGCCTGGGGAGGGAAGCGGGGGGTAGGGAGCCGGTGCTACTCATTGCACTTTGTGCGTGAGAAGGGTCTAGGGTTATGGGGGAGAGACGCCATCCTGCCTGTGAGAAAGGGGAGGTGGTGCTGGAGCAGGGCCTTGACGTGATGCACAGGGGACTTCACCAGGAAGGGATGGGGAGGGAAGAGTGTTCAAGCAGGAAGAGCCGCACAAGCAAAGGCCCTGGGGTAGGAGGGTGGCCGTCCTGTGATGCGGTTGGGATGAGTGGGGTGAGGCTGCTAAGGGGCTTCTGGGCCTGCTAGTGAGTGCCAGGCCTCGGCACTTGGCCGGAGATGGGCAAGTCTTAGTTGGTGGCTTTGTCTCTTCTCTGAACTGTGACCAGAGAGTCATTCCTTATGTACCTTCCAAGTGCCAGGCCTTGGGAATACAGTGATGAGCAAGCTGTGCAGGGTTTCTGCTGTTGTGGGGAAGTGGAGGGTCCTTCAGAATTTGAACTACAAGGGTGATAGTGTGATAGTTACTATGAAGGGGAAATGTAGAGAGCCACAAGGAGCAGTAACAAGAATGTGATGTCGTTGGTCTGCAGTGCAGGATGAGGTCAGAGGTAGGCAGGGGCCAGATCTACTGCCTGACTGAGGACTGCCGGGAGGAGTTTGGGTTTTATTCCAGGGGCTGTGAGAAGCCATTTCAGGGTTTCAGGCACGGAGGTAAGATGGCCTGATTTGTGTTAAAAACAGGTGTGGTTGTCGCCTGGATTGGAGGACGTTGCAGCATAAAAGTAGTGAGACAGTTGAGCAGGCTGTCAGAGTAATGCTGGCAGGGGTGCTGGGCGCCCAGGGAAAGATGCTGTCAAGGGAGAACCAGCAGGATTCAGGGATGGATTGATCTGGTGCCCAGAGTACTTCCCACCTCGCCTCCCACCTCACCCAGTAACCCACAAAGGCGGAAACCTTACTCCTGTCTACCCCAGGCCTGGCCGCGGGCCACTCCCCACATTCCATCTTCACCTTTGGGCCCTAGATACAGGCATAATGACGCCCTGGGCTCCTGTCTCCCCGGGCTCTGCCAAGGGAAAGGGGACCACTCCTGGCCCTGGGAAACCAGCAGCCAATGCCACAGTCTCGGTGGGCCCAAGGCCGGCACAGGGCCCCAGCAGCAGTGAGGAGGAATTTGAGATTGAGGAGATGGCTGCCCCAGAAACCCAGGGAGGGAGGAGGTCTAACTGTTGATGGAGATGGAGGTAGGGAATTGCCTGCCTTGGAAATCTCAGAATTTTAGAAGTCGAAGAAAGAGCCCAGAGAGGGAAGCGATGTGCCCATGGTATCTCAGCACGCTGATGGCAAAACTGGTGTTCAGATCCTGGCCCTCAGGACGGCAAGGGCAGGCAGGGTGTGCTCTCCTGGTTGAGGGGGGCGGCCTCTCTGTGCTGGCCTGTGTGCCACACAGTGGTTGCGAGTTCTGCCCCCAAAGCCTCACAGACATGGGCTCCAGTCACGGCTTTGCCCCTTAGTGTTGGTCTTGAGTGATTTAACCTCTCTGAGCCTCTTGTCCTTTTCTGGAAAATAGGTGTAAAGATATTATCTATCTCAGGGAGTTGTTTGAGAATCAGATGATCTTAGGAAACGACTTTATAAACCATGAAGCATCTTATACCCTCAGGGGTAAGGGTTATTATTCCTTCTCTAATTCCATCCTCTTGTTCCAGGTGAAACCCTCAGTAAAACCACCCCAGGTCAAAGCCTCGCCAGCCCCTGCCAAGGAGTCTCCAGGGAGAAGGGCAGCCCCAACCCCTGGGAAGGCGGGGAATGTGACACCCCAAGTCAGAGGAGGTGCCGTGACCCCAGCCAGCAGGGCCAAGAAGCCAGAAGAGGACTCGGAGAGCAGCGAGGAGAAATCTGAGAGTGAAGAGGGGGCCCCTGCGGAGAAACCCAGCCAGGTGAGGCACAGGGGAGGGCTCCCCCTGAGGGTCCCCTGGTCCTCCAGCAGCCTGGGGCTCCCCCATGGCTCCCAGAGACTGACAGAGTAGCTATGTAGTGAGCATCTCCTCTGCCAGAGAAGACTCGCCTGGGAATTTGGGGAGAGGGAGGCGGGGGTGTGCAAGTTGAAGGGCAAGGGTAGCTGGGCTTGCTTCAGCCACCTGTGGAAATTGCCCTTCTTGCCCAAGCAGCCACTTAAAATGGCTGCTTCCCAGAGGGTGGGCCTGTACTCCACTCAGTCAGAACCTCCCCTTTACCTCAGTTTCCGTCTAGTAAATGGGCTCCTGTCCTAGACCCAGGTAGTCCTGCTGTGAAAGGACTTGAGAAGTTTTAATTGCCCGGTCCGCTGGCTTCTCAGGCCAAATCATGGCTTGGTAGCTAACAGGAGTCCAGTTACCTTCGATCTGCTGGGACCCCCTCCTCCAGGTGGGTGGCCAGGGCTGCAGCCCCGAAGGTTCTGGGTGCATCCCAAGGGAAAGTCAGAGGCTGGGAAGCTGTTCGAATCAGAGCGCCAGGAGGAGGAAGGGTCAGACAGCAGTGGTAAAAGGCTCCAACAGCCCTGAGCCCACCCAGGTGAGGCCCAGGAGGAGAGGTCCCAGCCCACACCCAGGCCTGGGGCAGGATGATAAGGGGGAGACGTTCGATAAATAAGCACCTAAATAAGATTCACTTTGCTAGATGTCAGTGAATGTTAAAGAGGAAAGTAAGGTGGGGAGGGACATGGGAATGGCCATTTAACACAGAGCACGCAGGGAAGGCCTTCGAGTGGAGACATTTGAGGAAAGACTTGAAGACCTGAAGGAGAAGAGGGAGGGAGCCATGTGGACGTTTGGAAGAAGGGCATTCCAGGCCAGGAGCACAGCCAGTGCCAAAGCCCTGATAGGGGAGTAGGAGTGAGAGCTGTGACGGATCAGAGTGCAGACCCTATCTGCAGGGGGCCGCTGCTCTGTAGCTTGGGTCTGTTTTGCTGTACCCAGGGGCTACCCAGTGTTGCCTGGCACCTATTTTTCATCAGGAGCCCAAACGTGAACTTGATGTAAAGTCTACTTTCTCCATGTGGGTTCAAAACTTTGAAAAGGAGCAAGCCAAAAAACCTGTCTGGAGCAGCCTGTACCCTCTGCATGGGAAGGTTTTTAGAAGGGAAATAATCAGAGCTGTTGATTTTTGGAGGTGATTGGCCCAGGGCTGAGCAGCCTTGACCTTTCCAAAGAAGACAGGGTCTGCAGCCGCCTGCTGAAGCCCTGAGGCCAGGAGCAGAGCCTGAGCCCCGCAAAGAGGAGGCCTGGGTCTTGGGGACCTTGCTCCAGGAGGCTAGGAGAGGCTTCCCAGGGGTCGTCCTGCTGTCCAGCTGCAGAAAGCCCAGGGAGGGCCTCACTCTGTCCCCTCTTCGCTTTCGGACTGCCTCTCTGTTCACCACATCCAGGCTGCTCTGTTTCCTCCCTCTGGGCCTTTGCATACTCCCTCCTCTAAGCCCAGTCAGATATGCACTGCAGCACTGAGGGGTCAGCCAGACTTGGTACCTGTGCTCAGAGAGCTCTCCCGCTGATGGGGGTGCCCAGCGGGGAGAGGCTGTAACACCTGCGTGCAGGGCAACCCTGGAGGCAGTGCAAGAGCGTCGGAGAACTGCCATGCGGAGCTAGTGTCTGTCTGGGACCCAGAAGCAGTGGTGGCAGGTGACATGGGCAGGGGGTGTGAAGGCCCCAGGAGTGACTGAATGTGAAGCTGATAGGCCAGGCCAGAGTACCAGTCGAGGTAGGGAGTGAAAAGAGAAGCAGAAGGGTCTTGTGAGCCCTACTAAGGCAAAGGCTTTATCCTGGAGGCATCACCAGAGCTGGAGGAGGAGGGGAACAAGCTGTGCTTTTTCTTTTACTAGGGGAAGGCCTCGGAGAAAACTGTCTTGGCCAGAGCTGCCTCGGGTCCTGCCAAGGGGACCCCTGGGAAAGGAGCCACCCCAGCACCCCCTGGGAAGGCAGGGCCTGTAGCTGCCCAGGCCAAGGCAGGGAGGCCAGAGGAGGACTCGGAGAGCAGCAGCGAGGAGGAGTCGGACAGTGAGGAAGAGACACCAGCTGCCAAGACCCCACTTCAGGTGAGGCCCGGGGAGGGAGAGCCCCTGCAGCCATGCCCCTCCCCAGCAGGCCCTCTGAGGACTCGTTCTCCCCTCTGCGTGAGTCCCAGGCATGCTCCAAGCTCCACCCCACCCTTCTCACCGTGTGGCGTGTGTGGTATCTTTGGCTCTGTCTGGTGTCCTGTCTCCTCACGTCAACCCTCTGTGCTCCCTCCCCTGATGCTGTTTGTCTTGCTCCTGGTAAAGCCCTCAGGGAAGACCTCCCAGGTCAAAGCTGTCTCAGTCCCCGCCAAGGAGTCTCCAAAGAAAGGCACCGTCGCAGCACCCTCTGGCAAGGCAGGGCCCGCGGCTGCCCAGGCCAAGGCAGGGAGGCCAGAGGAGGACTCGGAGAGCAGCAGCGAGGAGTCAGACAGTGAGGGGGAGGTGCCAGCAGCCGTGCCTCCAACCTCGAGCTCAGCTCAGGTATGGCTGGGGGACGCCCTGCACGGCCCTGTGCCCTGCCCAGAGAGCCTCTTGTGGGCCTGTCCTGCCCCTCTGCACCTACAGCCCTTGCCCCCCATCTGCCTGTCTTCACACATGCCCCCTGTGGGCCTCCTGCCCTGATCCTGTCCTTTATCACTCCCAGGCGAAGCCCTTGGGGAAGAACTCCCAGGTCAGAGCTGCCTCGGCTGTGGGCTTGGGGCCCTCAGGGAAGGGTGCCGTCCCAGCACCCCCTGGGAAGGCAGCGTCTACAGCCACCTTGGCCCAGGTGGGGAAGCGGGAGGAGGACTCGGAGAGCAGCAGCGAGGAGGAGTCAGACAGCGAGGGGGAGGCGCCAGCCGCCGTTGCCCCAGCCCAGGTGAGGCCCCTGACTGTCATGCTCTTCTCTCCCCGTCCGTGCTGGGGGCCCCTCTCTCTCTGCACATTATGATTTCATTTGCCCTCTTGGTCTCTCTGTCCCTGCACACAGCCATGCTTTGGGCTCCCTCCCCTGATCCTGTGTGTCTCACTCTAGGCAAAGTCCTCTGGGAAAATCCTCCAGGTCAAATCTGCCACAGGTCCTGCCAAGGGGCCCCCTCAGAAGGCAGGGCCTGCAGCCACCCAGATCAAGGTCGAAAAGTCCAAGGAAGACTCAGAGAGCAGCGAGGAAGAGTCGGACAGTGAGGAGGAGATGCCCGCAGCCATGACTCCAGCCCAGGTGAGGCCTCAGGCTGGGCAACTACAGAGCCTGACCCTGAGCTGCCCCCCACCCCCTCGGCAGCTCCACAGGGAGATGTGGGGAAGGATGGCAGTGGGGCTCCCCCGCAGAATAGGTGGGGGCTCTGAATCCAGGATCCGTCTCCAGCTTCTGACTTCTGTGTCCCCTCAGACAAAACCAGCTATAAAAACTCCTCAGCCCAAGGCCTCCCCAAGAAAGGGCAACCCCGTAACTCCCGCAAATGCCAAGGTCCCCCCAGTGCGAGTGGGCACACCAGCCCCCTGGCAAGCAGGAGCAGCAACTTCGCCAGCCTGTGCGTCATCCCCAGCTGTGGCCAGGGGTGCCCAGAGGCCAGAGGCAGACTCTTCAAGCAGCGAGGAGTCAGAGAGTGAGGAGGAGAAAGCTCCTGCCACAGCAGCTGGACAGGTGAGGCCAGGTGTGCTTGGCTGACTCAGGGCTGGCCCGTTGGGCTCCTGGGACACACCTCTCTTCCATGTCATTCCAGGTGAAGTCTGTGGGGAAAAACCCCCCAGTGAAAGCTGCCTCAGCACTCACCAAGGCGCCCTCAGGGCAAGGGACCACCCCAGCACTCCCTGGGAAGGCAGGGCCTGCGGTGGCCCAGGTCAAGGCTGAGGCGCACGATGACTCGGGGAGCAGTGAGGAGGAGTCGGACAGTGAGGAGGCGGCAGCGACTCCAGCACAGGTGAGGCCTAGGCGGGGCCAGCCCATCCCACTCACCCACCAGTGCCCAGGATGGGGCTGATGAGGGGCTTGTCTCGGCTGCTGTTGTCCCCGGGTGTGCAGAAGCCTCAGGGGCAGCCTCAGCTCAGCCTCATTCTCCACTTTTGACTCTCTCCTCTGCCCGTCGGAGCTCCAGGGTCTCCTTTGTGGCCTTTTGAGCTTCCACTGCGATTCCTTATGGTTTCCACCAGCTCTGTTGAGTACCCCTTCTGCCAGGTGCTATCCTGCCTGGGGCTTCTGTGGCCTGACCCTCAGGGAGTTCCCAGCCTAGATGGAGGGCATGGACATGCACACAGATTATTTCAGTGTGGTGTGATAGGGTTGAGATAGAGAGTGTGTACCTGGGCCAGCAGAGCATGGCAGTGACAGCCTCTAGGGGTTTTTCAGGAGGGAATGCCTCTTGGAGGAAGTGGCGTCTGAACTGTGGGCTGAAAGAGTTGGACAGTTGAAGTGGAGTGTTCCAGGCAGACAAACTAGGCTGTGCAAAGGCCAGGGGCTGGGGGAGTGCCTGGCTTGGGTGAGTTGCCCCAAGCAGAGCATTCTGGTGGGTCGCTGGGGGAGATGGTGTGATAGGGGTGAACGGCAGGGGGTTTGGAGCCAGACTGCCTGGGTGGATTCAAGCTCCAGGTTCATGTCCTAGCAAGTGATGTGATCCATCAGGGCCACTGTTTACTCTTCTAAAGTTGGAAATCAACCTCACAGAGCAGAGAATTTAACAAGATCTCGCTTGCCACACCCGCAAGGGTCCTGTGTACAGCAAGCTCTCTCATCCCTCTCCCTGAGGGTGGGCCAGACTGCTGTGGAACAGAATCAGGAGTCGTCTCCCAGCCTGGAAGAGCTGGGAGAAGTGAAGATAGCTCACTCCCTGCACTCACCCACCCACTGTTTATTATTTTTAATTGTCAGTCTTTTTTTCAGTAACCACTCAGAGATTAGTCGTTTCTTTTTCCTCTGTACAGAGCGCACATTTCTATGTTTTTGGGTTTTTTTTGCACCCGCCCCCCACTGTCAACTTGTGGGACCCACTGTTAACTTGTGAAAGTGAGGTTTCAAACTCTGCCTGGGCCCACCTGGAGTCTCAGCTGGTCTGAGCTGGGGTCTCAGCTCAGCAGGCTCCTGTCCCCTTTTTCCAAGCTGCAGACACATTCCAGACCAATGCCTTAAAAGTATCTCATGTGGATGAGGGACCCTGGGGTGTGGGGGATGTCGCTTACCAGATGACATCTATGAATGACGCAGGGGCTTTGAGATGCTGCCAAATTCAGTGTGCCAATCACTGAAATATTTGTCTTCCCATCTGAGCCTCCCACCTGTACCATGAGATGGGTGTTCATTTGCTTTGGTTTCTGGAGGAGGAAGTTGGAGCTTAGAGCAGTTGTTTGGTGACCTGCTCCAGCTCAGCCAGCCAGTGAGGGTCAGAGCCGGGCCTGTGCCCCAGAGCACCTGCTTCAAAAGCATTTGCCTTTCCCACTTCCTGATGACAGATCTTGGCCAAAAGTTTTCCAGCCACAGAAATGGTTATGCTTTTGGGTCTTTCAGGGTAAAAAATAGAGCAGCTAATCTCTGTCTAGTAGCCTGGCCTTATAGGCTGATGCCCTGTCAGAAGATGGTGCTTTTCCTGTCTTCAAGAGGTCTGAAGAGCCTCTGCTAAAACAGGCAGGGCTGGGAGGAGGAGTCTTGTTGACCACCGTCTTTTCTTTGCCTTCATCTGAAGGATGAGGATAATAATTACGCCTCTGTTGTAGGGTTTATTATGAGGAGTAAATGAGATAACACTTGTATAGCCTCACCCTCAAAACCCTGCACACACTGACTGGGTACCATGCTGCTCAGCATTGCTGGGGTCAGAAATGAGTCAGAGTCTCTGATCTGCTCAGACACCCAGCCAGCTCAAAGTAAACCATCCATTTGGGAGTTGAGGTTCAATAAAACAAATTTAAAAAAAAAAAACAAACAAAGAGGATTGGCTCTGGAAAGCCAAATGTGCCAGAGACTCAGAAAGGAGATGATTCATGATTTAAATGCCATAGGAAGACAAGCCTTGGGTGAGAAGGGCAGGAGAGATGTTCTGTCAGTGTTTGATGAATGGCTGGCTAAGTGGTGGGATGCCTTCTGGGCCTGACTTCGTGTTGTATGTTGATCTTATGTCCTGTGACATTGTTACACTTGCTTACCAGTTCTAGTGGCTTTCACAGATTCCTTAGAATTTTCTATATACAGATTATGTTGTCTGCTAATAAGGAGTTTTACTTTTTCTTTCTGATCTAAATGCCTTTTATTTTTCTTGCCTTATTGCACTGGCTAGAACCTCCAGTACAATGCTGAATATTAGTGGTGGGAGCAGACACCCTTGCCTTGTTTCTCACCTTAAGGGTAAAGCATTCAGTCTTTCACTGTTGAGTATGTTACCTGTAGGTTTTTCATAGATGCCCTTTATCAAGTTGAGGAAATTTCCTTCTATTCCTAGTTTTTTGAGAGTTCTTATCATGAATTGGAGTTGGATTTTTGTCAAATGCTTTTTCTCTATTGAGGTGATCTTATGTTTTTCCCGTTTGTTTTATTAATATGATATATTGCTTTAGTTGATTTTCAGGTATTAAATCAACTTTTCATTCCTGGAATAAATCTCACTTGGTCATGGTGTATACTCCTTTTATTTGTTGCTGGATTTGGTTTGTGAATCATTTGTTAAGGATTTTTGTGTCTGTGTTAATTAGGAATATTGGTCTGTAGTTTTCCTGTGATGTCTTTGTCTGGCTTTCTTATCAGGTGATACTGGCGTCGTAAGATGAGTTGGCCTCATAAGACTCAACTTTCTGAGAGTTTGTGTTGGATTGGTAGTATTTCTTTCTTTATAAAATTCACCAGTGAAGCCATCTGGTTTTTGGCTTTTTTGTTGGGGGGGGGGGGGGGGGTTTTTAATTACTGAATAATTTCTTTAATTGATATTGGTCTATCCAGGGTTTTTTTTCTTCCTGAGTCAGTTTATATTTTGTGCCTTTTAATAATTTTGTGCACAGTTAATAATTTGTGGCTTTCTAGAAACTTGTCTCTTTTCTTCTCAGTCATCTTATTTGTTGGCATAAATTTGTTTATAATATTCTCTTATAATCCTTTTAATTTCCATAGAGTCTATAGTGATGTCCTGCTTTCTTTCCTAATTTTTGGTAATTTGTGTCTTCTGTCTCATGTCTTGGTCAGTCTAGCTAAAGACTTATTAATTTTGTTCTTTTCAGAGAAAGAGTTTTTGATTTCATTGATTTTTCTCTATCATTTTCATGTTTTCTATTCCATTAATTTCCACTCTAATCCTTATTATTCCTTCTTTTATTTTGGGTTTGATTTGCTCTTCTTTTTCTAGCTTCTTAAGGTGGAATCCTAAATTTTTAATTTTAGCTCTTTCTGGCATAAGTATTTAAAGCTATACATTTCCCTCTAAGGACTCGTTAGCTTTGTCCCATGAAGTTTGAAATGTATTTTTTATTTTATTCTTTGAAATGTGGGTTATTTAGAAGTGGGTTAATTCCTAAATATCTGGGATTATGCAGATTTTTTTTAAATTTCTCATTATTGTGGCTGGAGAACATAATTTGTATGATTTCAGTCCTTTTAAATTTATTGAGATTTGTTAGGTCAACTTAGTCTTAGTGTCTTTTATTTTATTTTCATAAGTCTACGTAAAGACCTTCCCCTCCAGATGACTTGAGTTCTGTGCTCATAAGCACCTTGGCCTTGGTCATACACAGTCTACGCTTTAGAGGATTTTCTTTCCTGAAGTCCTGACTCTGAATGTCTCTTGGTCTCATGGATGAGGGACGCTGAGGCCTAGGGGATGTCACTGATCAGGTGACATCTATGAATGAGGCAGGGGCCTTGAGATGATGCCAAATTCCTCATGCTATTTCACATTAGCAAGGCTTGCTGCCACACTCCTGTCAAAGATCTCGCTGTCGAGGATTTTGCTCTTTGTTGCTCTCGTCTCTCTAGGTCTATATTTGCTGGGGCCCCTGACAGGCTTTTTGGGGATTCCTTGGATACCAGTTAAGATTAGGTCAAGCTGAATAAAACATCAAACAACAATGGTTTTCTGTCTCGTTCTGCCATCCTGAGTACCTGTCTCCCACCTCATAGGCTAATATGGCTGCTTGAGCTCCAGCTATTACCTCAGCATTCTAACCAACAAGGAGGATGAAGACACATGGTACCTACATGTGTAAGAAAGTCAAATGTATATTCGACTGACTTTTTCATTAACCAGAAGTTAATCACATGGCCACTTAGCTGGCCTGGAGAAAGGGAGCCTGGAGAACACTTTTGCTCTGGGTAATCTTATGCTTAGCTAACACTAAGAAAAGTGCTCACAATAGTGAGTTTATTTGAGTGCTTATTATGTGCCAGGCACTGTGTTAAACACTGTGAATCTCCCATTTAATCCTCACAATAACCCTGTGGATGGGCCTTATTATTATTCCCATTTTGCAGAGGAGGAAACTGAGACCCAGTGACATGAAATGATTTGCCTAGGTTCACACAGCTATTAAATGGAGGATCCAGAATCCAAACTCAAGCATCTGAATCCAGAATTGGCATTCTTGGCTGACTGATGTACTGCAGCTCACCTTCTTCCTTCCGGAATTCTGTTTTCTCCTTCCAGGTGAAGGCCTCAGTGAAAACTCCTCAGACCAAAGCCAGCCCAGCTTCTGCCAGAGCGGCTTCAGCCAAAGGGGCAGCGTCAGCTCCCGGAAAAGTGGTCACTGCAGCTGCTCAAGCCAAACAGGGGTCCCCAGCCAAGGCAAGTGGGGCCAGAAGCCACAGGAGGTGCCAGGGGTGGGGTGGAGAGGAAGACCAAGCAGTGGCCCCTGCCCAGGCAGGAGCAGCCTCCCGGCACTCACACCGTGGGTGGGGCTTAACCTAAAAGGACCCGTGCTGGCCCTTCCTCCCCAATACTGTTACCTCCTCGTGATTCAGGTGAAGCCACCAGCAAGAACCCCCCAGAGCCGTGCCATCTCGGGGAGGGGCCAGGTAGCTGTGCCAGCTGGGGGAAAGGCAGTGGCCGCAGCAGCCCAGGCCCAGCCAGGGCCAGTCAGGGGCCCAGAGGAGGACTCGGAGAGCAGTGAGCAAGAGTCAGACAGTGAGGGGGAGGTGCCCGCTCAGGTGAGGCCCCCGGGGGAGGGGGTTTGGGGGGTGGAGAGCAGCCCTGTGCTGTCCCTCTGGGCTCCTTTCCCTAATTGTGTTTCTGTCACTCCAGGCAAAGCCCTCAGGGAAGACCCCCCAGGTCAGAACTGCTTCAGCCCCCACTAAGGGGTCCCCCAAGAAAGGGGCTGCCCCAGCACCCCCTGGGAGGACAGGACCCACAGCCACCCAGGTGGGGAAGCAGGAGGAGGACTCGGAGAGCAGCAGCGAGGAGGAGTCAGACAGTGAGAGGGACGCGCCTGCTCAGGTGAGGCCTGGGGAGGGTGGAGAGCAGCCTTCTGGGGTCCTTCAGGGCTCTCTTCCCTAATTCTGTTTGTCTCACTCCAGGCGAAGCCCTCAGGGAAGACTCCTCAGGTCAGAACTGCCTCAGCCCCCGCCAAAGGGTCCCCCAAGAAAGAGGCAGCCCCAGCACCCCCTGGGAAGACAGTACCCGCAGCCACCGGACCCACAGCCACCCCGGCAGGGAAGCGGGAGGAGGATTTGGAGAGCAGTGAGGAAGAATCGGACAGCGAGGGGGAGGCACCTGCTCAGGTGAGGCCTGGGGAGGGTGGAGAGCAGCCCTCTGCCGTCCCTCTGGCTCCCTTCCCTAATTCTGTTTGTCTCATGCCAGGCGAAGCCCTCAGGGAAGATCCCCCAGGTCAGAACTGCCTCAGCCCCCACCAAGGGGTCCCCCAAGAAAGGGATTGCCCCAGCACCCCCTGGGAAGACGGGACCCACAGCCACCGGACCCACAGCCACTCAGGCAGGGAAGCGAGAGGAGGACTCGGAGAGCAGCAGCGAGGAGTCAGACAGTGAGGGGGACGCGCCTGCTCAGGTGAGGCCTGGGGAGGGTGGAGAGCGGCCCTGTGCCATCCCTCTGGCTCTCTTCCCTAATTCTGTTGGTCTCACTCCAGGTGAAGCCCTCAGGGAAGACTCCCCAGGTCAGAACTGCCTCAGCCCCCACCAAGGGGTCCCCCAAGAAAGAGGTTGCCCCCGCACCCCCTGGGAAGACGGGATCCACAGCCACCCAGGCGGGGAAGCAGGAGGAAGAATCAGAGAGCAGCAGCGAGGAAGAGTCAGACAGCAAGGGGGCAGTGCCAGCAGCTGTGACACCAGCCCAGGTGAGGCCTAATGAGGAAGATACTACGGTGCCAGGCTTCTGAGCCACTGCCACCCACTTCTTGGTCAGAACTTAGGTTCAGGGCCAGGTGAGGAAGGAAGACCAGATTAAGACTCTGACTCCAGGATCCTTTCCCCCAGCTGCTGTCTTCCATGTCTCCTTAGGTGAAACCTGCTTAAAAATCCCCCAAACCAAGGCCTCCCCGATGAAAGATGTTCTAGACACTCCCATATCTACCAAGGGCTCCATAACACGAGTTGACGCAACAGCCCCATGGGAGGCTAGGCTGGCAACTAGGCAAATGAGGCTACGAATCCAAAGATGTCACAGTCAGAGAGTCATGAGGAGGCTTGGGCTGTGATGCAGGTACCATGAGGCCCTGGGGAGCTGGAGGAAGTCACATCCCTTGCCTGGGCCCTCATGTAGGCATGTGCATCTCCCCAGGGAGGGCTTGTGTAGCTTAGTATGGGGAGTGGGGAGAGAGAAGGACTGAGGAACTGACTTGCATCTGGACGATTTTCCCTTGGCTTGCAGAAGGCAGTAGGAGTGGCTATGTCCTGCAGAAGTTCACAGTGACAAACTCCAGGACTTACCGGGCTCAGAAATGTGATGGAAATGATTGACACAGGTCTGGTGGAGGTGTCAGATGGCAGCTGACATTGAGCCTTGGTGTCAGGAGAGATAGTAAGGAGCGGTGACAGGTAGGGCTGACTGGAGAGCCCCTGCCCCATCTAGGAGGACATCCCTGTCAGCTCCAGCCAGTTGTCACCTTGTGGAAATGTACCCTCTGTGTGGCCAGACCTTCCATTTCTTAAGGGAACTGGAACTCCCTGTGCCAGGCTGTGCTCCGCCCCCTCTTGGCTTTCTGTTCTCTTCATGAGTAAAACAAGCACTGAGAAGTCTGCTGGTGTCCCTAGCAATAACCACTGCCTTCAGTGCACCAGACCAACCAGTGAGCCCTCTGTCTCACTGATAGAGAAAGGGATGAAAGACATTGGCCCTGTCCTCAAGAGCTTATAGTCTGTAGGGCAAGACGAGGTGACTGGATTATTGGAAAATATTCCGGTAGTTCTGTCTGATGAAGCTGGGAGAACAGGTCTCTGAGAGGCCAGAAGAAGAGATGATTGAGCTAAGCTTGAAGGAAGACCAGAGGTTCACCAGGCACAGAAGTGGGGATAGGCACCCAGGGGGGCAAAGTGTATGCAAAGAGGAGGGGAGGTGAAGTCAGGTGGGTTCAGCAAAGGCCAGCCAGCCCGTAGGCGACAGTCATTTCTAGTCGCTTGATACCAGTAACATTTATGGGGGCCTAAATGCCAGACTAAGACACAAGGGCCCCAGCTGTGTGTTGGACTGTGCAGCATTTTTTTTTTCTTCAAGTTTTAAATGGGTTACTATATCAGGATGTCCTAATCTGCGGGAGAAAACCTGATTCACAAGAGCTTAGATAGGAAGGGGATTGGTTATCTCACAGTGCATGAAGTTTCAGGGCAAGGCTGCTGTAAAGGTGATTCTTTCAGCTCAGCATCATTGGTGACCCAGATTTCTTCCGTCTCTGTGTTCTGCCTGCCTCATTGTCACAGCAGTGTTGCAGCATCTCCTAAAGAGCTACAAAATCCCCCAGCTGACTTCCCTTCCCCTTGTCTCCTTGTCCAGATCTAAGGCATTGCTCCCTCTGCTTCCCTCCCCTGCACCCAAAAAAAGCCACTCACTGATGCGGGGCCTGCAATTCCCGTGATTAGCTGGGAGAAGGAGCCACCCTCCCCAAAGCCTGTTGTGGGGGCCACCAGAACAGAGTCACGGTTGTGTTAGCAAGGAAGACACGGGGACGTGGCTGTTGCAGTGTGTGTTGTAGTTGACCCATTTAAAAATTGGGAAATAACACACACAAATCAGGATCTTCTAGCTTCTCTTGAGAAACTGGAGGCCCCAGCGACCTAGGTCTCACTTTTCTGACTGGTTTGAGTAGTGAAAGGTGAGGCCTTCACACCAGTGGAGCTGCCCCCTGCCCCTGTCCCTGCCCTGGGCAATGCTGAGCTGGTCACCACCGGCACCTGCTACGCACTGCTTGCTGGGTCCTGCTCCATCTCTGGCCCACCAACTGCAGTTCCCACCCAGCCGGCTCCCCTCGTGCTGGCACGAGGGGATGGCTGCCGTCCGAACATTTTAGTCGGCTCCTGCTTTTCGCCAGAGGTGTTATAGCCGGATGTGAGCTGTGCTGGGGCCACTGGCTCACCCCTGCAACCTTGTCCCAGGCTGCTGTCACCTCTCGTTCAGACGCCAGGCCAGTAGCAGCCCAGCCGTCAGGTTTTAGTGGTGTCTGACTCAGACATCCCTTTCAAGTTCAGAGTGAGCTCTGGCAGGAGGATGAGCAGAGTGGAGGCTGGTGTTTCCAGTGGCTGTGGAGCATGCCAGGCTGGCAGCTGTCCGCCCGCCGTGTGTGGGTGTAGGAAGGGCCTGTGCTGCCTTCCCTGGAGCGCCAGCGTGTGCAAGGGGCATTGCTTGCTGTCCGTGGTTTCCCACCCCTAGCCCCTCAGTCGTGCTCCCCCTCAGCTAACACTCCCTCTCCCCCATTATGTGCTTGTCCCCTCAGAAGGAAGGTAACTCCCAAACTGTCCGAAGCAAGACCCTGGCCCCAGCACTCCTGGAGAAGAAGGCAGAGTCGTCGTCAGAGAGCAGTGACGAGGAGCTGCCGGCAAGCCAGGTAGGCCGTGCCTTGTCTCTGAGACGCTGCAGGCTCAGAGCTGGGCAGGCAGGTGGGCGGGCCTCTACGGGGGAGAGGGGGGCAAGGGCAGATCTTTCCCACTGAAACAGCACTTCACAGTTCCCAGAGCTCTTTCCTCCATTTTGACACATTCATCTTCACAATAACCCCGTGAGGTAGGCAGCAGAGCATCATTGAATATCCAGGCCTCAGAGCTGGATGCTGTAGGGTCAAGGCTAGCTGTCCCACCTGCCAGCTCCGTGACCCCGGGCACGCCTTAACCATTCTGTAGAACAGGCAGGGTAATCGTCCTCCCCTCTGCGTCTGTGCACTGGCACAGTGTGCTCCGTGACAGGGAGCACTGCAGGAGGGCACGTGATGTTGCCCATTCGACGTCAGGAATCAAGGCCCAGTGAGTTGAAGTGATTTCCGCAAATTCTCTTGACCTGTAAGAAGCCAAGGAAGGGGTGCACACTGGTCCCCTGGCCCCTTGTGTATCTCTGCTCCCTGTTTGGGCCTGGGCGCCTTCTCTGCAGGGCTCGTGGGAATCCCGTGGGCCTGGCCCAAGACCTCACTCGAGCACCTGTGGCACATCGCCACATGCTCTACTGCCCCAGGTGGCGCCCCCGAGAGCAGGACCAAGCCCACCTTGTCTCCCAAGTCTGCTGGGCTGGTATGCAAGTTTCTGTGTGAACCCCAGGCCTTTCCTGAAGACAGCACTGCCCTGTTTCCTCCTCTAGCCCCAAGCTCCTAGAAGCTTCTGCCAGGCTTGTCACAGATGCTGGAGTCCTGCAACTCCCATACCAGTGGGGTCTCCTTAACCATTTCCCCTTACATATCATACCACATGCTAATCAATCCATCATTAAGGTCAGATGCTGCTTGCACACCCCCAGTGATGGGGTGCTCACTGCCTTTCAATAACACAGGTTGCAAAAGTAATGATGAACAGCTACAACTAACATGATTGGTCACTTCCTGTGTGCCAGGCCTTGTGCTTAGCTCCATACTTGCATTATTCTCTTTAATCCCACAACAGCCCTGTCGGGGTGGGTCCTTCTGTTACTCCCATTTTAAGGAGGAAGGAATGAGGCTCAGAGAAGTTGAGTAAACTGTTCCGGCATCACATGGCTGGTAACAAGTGGGCAGACCTGGTGTTTGAACCCAGGCTGTCTGCACTCCACCCCGCCCCCTGGTACTGCCCCAACACTCCCCTGCAGGGAAGGAGGCAGGCAGGGCCCCGGCATTGCCCGCTGGCTCTGTGGAGCCTCCTCTGAGCAGGATCTAAACAGCTGGGAAGGAGGGGGCCGCTTCACCCTTCTCTGCGGGGGCGGACTAACACAATTAAAATGAACATCACGCTTAAACTGAACCGTTTAATTGGTACGTTAGTCCTAAAGGAGTCCCTATTAAAAGAAGAAGAAGAGAAAAGAGTCAGCAGTTTGTGCATTCCCCCGGGAGGGTTCAGGGAAGACAGCACGGCCTGGGGAAGCTGCAGCTTCCTCCTAAGAGGGGATTTTCAGCTCCTTAATACCCAACTCGCTGATTATGATGATTATCGTTATTATGCATTTATCAAGCACTTCTCTATTGACAAGTTTCGTTCTGTTTTTATTATTAGCCCGTCAGTGGGGAAGAGGGACCGATGCCAGGGTAGTGGGCAGAGCCCCAGGCGGGGAGGCGGAGAGAGGACTGTGGCTCCGTTCCCAAGCCCCCTTACTGTGCCTCAGTCTCCCCACAGTCTGCCCCTCGCCCTCACTCCCCTCAGTTGCCCACAGGGAAGGGGCCCACTCTCTTGCTCTAAGAGAGACTTCAGGATGGTGCTCTGTGGCTCAGCCCTGTTGTGCTGGGGCCTGGCATAGGTACCAAAGTGAAAAGACAGGGCCGGCCCCGTGGCTTGGCGGTTAAGTGCGTGCGCTCTGCTGCTGGCGGCCCGGGTTCGGATCCCGGGCGCGCACCGACACACCGCTTCTCTGGCCATGCTGAGGCCGCATCCCACATACAGCAACTAGAAGAATGTGCAGCTATGACATACAACTATCTACTGGGGCTTTGGGGGGAAAAAATAAATAAATAAAATCTTTAAAAAAAAAAAAAAAAAAAAGAAAAGACATAGGTACCCTGCTCTCAGAGTTGCAGGTAGAAGCAGAGAGAAGGGAGACCTGTAAGAAACCAAGTTAAGGTGTCACCTCAGAGGCCTCACATGGTTGGTCCTGGAAGGAGCTCCTCTTTAGTGCCTGAAGAACTGACTTCCAGGCCTGCACCATCCAGGCCACATCCCCAGAGAGTGGGGTTTCTCAGTTCCCTGGGGTGGAGCGAGCGCTGGATCTGTTAACCAGCCTCCAGGCAGTTCTGAGAGAGGCTCTTGAAGAGCTGCCCTCCGAGCTCCGCCACCTCACATTCCTTTGTGGCTGTGATCCTTCCCTAGGGTTGGCAGCCTGGGCTACTCAGCCCCCCGCCTCTACTCTGCCCCAGACTAGAGTGAGGGTTCAGTTGTGATGAGCTCAGCTGTGATGGGGGTGGGGGGCACTGCCCAGAGGCTCCCCAGTTTGGTCCTGCAGGAGGACGTCAGAGCCTGCAGGAGGAAGGGAGTCCCTGCATTCCCTCTGGGTCCTTACTGCCCAGCACCTCCAGGGAGGCACAGCCAGATGTTCAGGCTGCTGCAGCTGCCAATGAACCTAGTCAAACCAACCCCAGAAGGAAGGCCTCGTCGGCCTCGTGTGTACTGTGCTGTGCGTACCAGAGCACATCAGAGCCCTCCAGTGAGAGCCCTGGCTGGGATTACTAACAGCCCTTTCAGCAGGTGGGAAACAGGCTCACAAAGCTCAGGCTCAACCACACAGCGAGGTCGTGGCAGAGGTGGGGTCAGAAGCAGGGCTTGGACATGGCCCTCCTTGTGCCCCTGCCCTCCACAGCCCGGCGCCCTGCACCCACGCAGCCCAGCGGCCAGGGCGGGCAGCGTGGGCAGGTGGAACAAGGAGGAGGCGGAGGCTCTTGCTGTGGAGCTGCTTTTAACATCCCAGACGCTATTGTTTGCTTCAGTGGGTTCGTTGCCTCTCTTCATCACCGACAATCTGTTCCTCTGTCTTCTCGTATATATATAGATCCCCCCTCCTTTGACTGTAAACCTTCTCCCACTTTCCATCCTTCTCTCTTTCATCATGTGGGAAGGAAGGCTCTGGAAGTGGCAGATCAGAGCAGCCGCGGGGGAGGCTGTTGGCAGGAGTAGGAAGGGCCCCAGCCCGGCAGAGCTTCCGCCCTCGGTGGGCACCTTTCTGCTCTGCTCTTCCCTTCACCTCTCCCATGGCACCCTGAGGCCGGGTGTGGAGTCATGGAAGAGACCTGGGTCCCAGATGTGACCTCAGGCAGCTCCCTCCTGCTGCCCTGCGACCCCGCCACTGGCCAGAGAGGGAGCAGGACTCGGGCCAGACCTGACATGTGGGAATGGAAAGCCGACTCCTCCAGCTCCCTGGGTCATGGCTGCGTGTGCTCTCAGGGGGCCCTCACATGCAGTGGGCATATTCACCGGAGCTGCGGTTCCCAAACTGGTCCGCAGAATACCAGGACGCTGCTGCTTTCTCTTTTAAAGTCTTATTGGAAAAATAAAAGTGTACCCAAAGAGAGGACGACATGAAGACCCCTCGCAAACCATCTCCAGCCTTAGCAGTTCTGAGCTCGTGACCAGGCTCGTTTCACCCAAAGCCTCCACTCCGTTCCCCAATGCTCTTGGATTATGGAGCTTTTTTTATAATGCTCCTTTTTTCTTTTTTTTTCCAAGCACAACCACGGTATAATATCACACCTGAGAAACTGACCTACCCTGTCGGCATCCCCATTTCCCTGATTGTCTCATGAATATTTTTTATATCACGTGTTCGAATTAGAGCCACACACTGCATTGGGTCCTTTAAGTCTTAATCTGTTGGGTTTCTCCGTGCAGTTTCTTTCTTTTTTTTTTTTTTTAATTTATTTTTATTTTTTTCCCCCAAAGCCTCAGTAGATAGTTGTAGGTCATAGCTGCACATCCTTCTAGTTGCTGTAACCTGTGCAGTTTCTTTGTTGAAGACACTGGGTCCATGTAGCTGGGTTGCTGCATCCTGGGCCATGTCTCAGGAGGCCACATTAGAGTCCCTGGGTGGGGACACTAGACTGTGAACGACCCCCTGGGTGAATCGTGTGTTATGACCAGGCAGCCGAGGGATACGCTGCTTAGAGCGCCCCAGTCAGCGGGTCTCTGTCTCGGAATTTAGCCAGAGGAAAGAAGGCCGATTTGGACGTTCTGGCCCTGGCTTTGCTTCAGTTAGGCTCTGTGACCTTGGGCAACTCATCCCCTCTCTGGACTTGTGGTTTTCCCATCTGTACAGTGGAGCTAATGCTGCTGACCTCATGGTTTGTCGTGAGGCTCAGATGGGCTCCTGTGAGCTGTGAGGTGCTGTGCTGGGTCTTGGCAGGTGCACGGGCTGGGAGTGAGCTGGGAGTGCCCCGGGCAGCTGGAATGGCCTCTGCCCGGCTGCCCTAAGCTCTCAGCACCCCTTGCCTTGTAAAACCCTCCCCCACCCCTACTCCCCTTCCCCTGGCCATGCCTTTAATCGCTGGGGGGGTGTGTTTTGTTTTTGTTTTTCAAGGTGATTAAACCCCCTCTGATTTTTGTCGACCCTAATCGTAGTCCAGCTGGGCCAGCTGCTACCCCTGCGCAAGCCCAGGCTGCAGGCGCCCCGAGGAAGGCCCGGGCCTCGGAGAGCACAGCCAGGAGCTCCTCCTCAGAAAGCGAGGATGAGGACGTGGTCCCCGCTACGCAGTGCTTGACTCCTGGTGAGCGTGGGCCCGCTACGCAGGGCTGACACACCTGCTGCAACCACCAGGCTCGGCTGGGCAGGGCCGCTAGCACACTCACACCCCTCTGTTGAGGCCCTGAAGGGAGAGGACGCTGGCTGAGGCACACAACAAGTTGTTGGTCAGCAGGGGCTGAGGCGCACAGCAAGCTGTTGGTCGGCAGGGGCTTGGGGCAAGGTCTCTGGGCCCTGCATTGGTTCATCCCCATGAGGGGCTGGCTCAGGAGAAATATTTGCCAGGGCTTCTCTGTGCTGCCTCCAGAGGGCAGACCCCAGACCAGAGGCTGGAAGCTGCAGGGACCAGGTTTCTATGTAGTCTAGGGAAGAGCTTGTGACAACTGATTGCCTGAACAGGGTGAGGTGGTAATTAGCCTCCCGTTCCTGGTGGCATGTAAAGGGGGTTAGTTAATCCCTAAACAGACGTTGACGTTGTAAGGAAGAATTCCACCTATCAACGAGAGACAGGACCAGATCTGGGATTTCTTTTTTTTTTTTTTTTTGTGAAGAGAACTGGCCCTGAGCTAACATCCGTGCCCATCTTCCTCTACTTTATGTGGGACGCCACCACAGCATGGCTTGACACGCAGTGCGTTGGTGCGCGCCTGGGATCTGAACCTACGAACCCTGGGCCACCAAAGCGGAGCGCGCACACTTAACCACTTGCTCCACCGGGCCGGCCCCAGGGATTTCTCTTTCTTTTGAGAATCTGTGATTCTCCCTGTGATAGCAAGAAAATGGTTAATTACTGCTATTGTTATTGTAACACTTTTTAATGAGGATATTAATACCTGATTTTGGTAGGCTAATTAAGAAATACAGATTAGCACAAAAGAAAAAAACGTCACCTGTAATCCCACTACCCAGGATAATTACTGTTAACATTTTACGACTGTTAACTTTACAAAGACCAAAGATATACCTGTGTGTTTTTAGTGAGTCCGTACTGTAGGTGTGCTCAGTAATCTTTACTTGATATGTTGTGACATTACATATTTACAGCATGATTCCTGCCGGCTACAAAGTAGTCCTTTGGGTGCACATACCATAGTTCATTTAGCCAGGGCCGTGTTGGAGGGAGCTGAGGATTTTGTTTGGGTGGCTTTTTGGGACAGTGCTACATGAACATGGTGTAACTAGGCCTTTGCAGATGACCGCGGTGATTCTCACGAGAGACTTAAATGCACGGGGAGTGTCACGTGGCCCCAGTGCTCCCGCCTGTTGCTCAGGAGCAGCAGCCTGGCCAGCTGAGGGGAACGTCACGGAGGACTGAAGTGTGGGGAAAGGCCGAGAAGAAAGCCTGGGGTCACTGCCACAGCAGCCCTGTAATCTCCCTGAGCCTTGTAACATGGAGATAGCAACGGCTCCTGCCTGGAAGGCTTGGAGGGAGCATTAAACAGGCTTCTGCCTCATAAGCCCTGAGCACCACGCCACGTCCCCGGAAGGGGCTGTTAAATTGGGTATTGCCTCAGCTGAGAAGGCTATGGGGCTTCTGTGTCCTGACGTGTACCCCATCCGGCTCCATTTCAGCCATTAGAACCAACGTGGTGACCGTACCCACGGCCCACCCAAGGACAGCCCTCAGAGCTGGCGCTGTTGGGGCCAGCAGTGGTGAGGAGTCCAGTCGGGTGTCAGAAGGCAAGAAGCAGGAGGCATCAGTCGCCCAGGTACCTGGTGGGCAAGGGAGGGCTCTGCAGGCCAGCAGAGGTCAGGAGCTCCCCGCTCTCCCTCTGCTTACCCACACATACTGCTGGGTGGGGTTGCACTTGCTCTCACCCACCCCCCTGTAGGAGTAGCTGCCCCTTGCAGCCAGAGCCTTTCCTGGGCTGGCTACAACCCTAAACCAAGCTCCCGAATTACCTTTGAGTGGCCGGGAAGAGTGCTCTGGAACATGGCACCCAGCAGAGCCAGCGCTGCTCCCAGAGTCCCTCATCAGCTTTTCCAGCTTGCTCGGGCTTTTGGTTTGTTTGTTTCCCCCCAGATTTGAAATGCCGTGAACGAAAGTGGCCGTGTTTTAGTGTTCACGGTAGTGCCTCTGGGCATTCTTTGCAGCCTTCACCATTTTCAGTGCGTTTTTACTCAGTCCTTGCCTGAACCTAAACACTGGGCAGGTAGAGTTAACAGCTCATTGTTCCAATGATAAAACTGAGCTCTGTCTTCTCAACTAGAGGTTGAGACTTGTCTCAGATTAGGCAGGACCAGAACCCAGGTCTCCTGACCCCCAGTCCACTGTGCTCTGGGCTGCATCGGTGTGTTTTCCTGCCTCATGGCTCCCGCCCCCTTCTGAGAGGGCAGAGAGAACTGTGTAGGCCTTGGGGGGCCTTGGGCACCCCCAGCTCAGAGGACCCACCACGAGCTACAGCCTGAGAAGAGCTTCCCGGGAGCGTGGGTGCTGGGTGGGGATCGGGGCCGTGGTCATCACACCCAACAACCTGCATCCCTTGAGCCATTTAGCCAGCAGATGGTGCTGACATCTGTCCATGCCAGGCACTGGGGATACAGCAGGAACAACACAAGGGGGGGTCCCTGCCCTCGTGGAGTCCCCGAGTGAGTGAGGAGGCAGCCACTAAACAAGGAAACAAAATCAAGTACTCACCAGCTGGTGAGCGCTTTGAAGGAAACAATAGAAACTGGAGAATAACAGAGTGAACTGCTTCAGAAAGGATGGGCAGGGATCGCCTCCCCGAGGAGGTGACATTGAAGCAGGAGAAGCAGCCGGGCCATGGTGAGCTGGGGAACACTCCAGCCAGGGAAACCCAGGGACAAGGACCATTTGGGGAAGCGCTTGGGGGTGAGAGCTGGAAGAAGGCGGGGCAGCTGGAGGAAGTAGCAAGGGGTGACGGGCCAGGCCCGGCAGGCCACGGTGAGGGCAGTGGGGGGGCGTGGAGGTTTTCCGCGAGGAGTCACGCCCAGTTCTGTTATCAGTTTTCTCTCCCTGATTGCTGGCAGATGTGGGAAGCTGGCACCAGGGAGACCATGGAGGAAGCTGTTGCAGCCACCAGGCTAGAGACATGTCCCCAGTGAAGGCTCAGATCGAGCGGTGGGGCCAGAGCTGCTCCCCTTCCCTGGGCTGGGAGCTGTCTTTGAATCCTCTGAGAACGATATGCTTATCTCCTAACTGGAAGCCTGGCACTATTTTCTGCCCAGATGGTGATATTACCCCTCTGACCAGCCCTCAGTCCCCCACTCCAGCCCCATGGCTCCTCTTGCAGATACAGGTCCCCTCCCACCCCAGCCAGACAGGGTCTGACCTGGGCATGGCATAGGTGGTATCCCGAGAAGCCAGGAGTCTCAGGGCTGCCTTTGGCTGTCCACAGGTGACAAAGAAGAACCCAGCTGACCTCCCGCTGACCCAGGCCGCCCTGAAGGTCCTTGCCCAGAAAGCCAGTGAGGCCCAGCCTCCTGCTGCCAGGACCCCGTCTTCAAGTGGGGTGAGCTGGGAAGCCAGGGTGCCAGGCCCTATCGTTGGGGGACAGTGATCAAAGACTACAGAGGGTAGAAGGGAGGGCCCAGGCAGGGGCCTGAGTCCCAGTGCCAGCACTTACCTGCCCTGTGAGCTTAGCACACGCACTTACCTCCCTGGGCCTCGGCTGCCCATCTTGGAGAGCTATGGGAGGGTGTAAGGAGGCCTGTGTGGCAGCTACCAGGGCCCGGCCCCTAACTGAGGTGTGCAAGAACCACTAGATCTTATTTCCCCTCAGTTTTCCTTCAACTCTTTCTCCTTTCACCAAATTAGGTTGACAGTGCTCTGGGCACACTCCCTGTGACGAGTCCTCAGAGCACCCCTGTTCCGGCCAAAGTGACCAACAAGCCCAGAAAGCCCAAGGTTCCTGAGGTCCGGCGGGCCTCGGCCACTCCCTTGGGACACTCCAAAGCCAAGGCCTCTGGACCCTCGGATGACAGCGAGGACAGCAGCGGCAGCTCTTCAGGGAGCAAGGAGGATGCTGAGGGGCCCCATAACCTGGGTGAGGGTCCCGGGAGGGAAAGTCTGCATGGGCCTGGAGGAGGGGAGAGGCCGCTGATGGAGCCCTAGGCTTGGGCCTCTGTTTGTATCTCCACTGGTTCTGCGACCTTGGCCTTAGTTGTCCTGTATGGCCCCATGAGGAAGTTGGTCCAAATGATATCCAAGACCCTCTGACTCGGCTGTTTGACCGCTCCTAGCCTTTTGGTATCAGGCTCCTATAACTGACCCCCCAAAATCTCAGGGCCGGGCCCTCCAACAAGAAAGCGGAGAAGGGTAAGTGAGGCCTCAGGATGAGAACAGAAGGCTTTAGCGTTGAGGTTCTTGCCCGGAATGCCGTGAATAGCAGCTGACCTTGAAAGGGAGCGCTAGGAGCAGATGAAGCCTTAGGCGGGAGGGTGAGGTGCATACAGAGGGACCAGGCCCTCCAGAAGGGCTCCCAGCAGGCTCCCTGCGCTTCTCCAGTAGGTGCAGCCCCCTCCAGGAGGGAGACCTTGGTGGAGGAGACCACAGCAGAGTCCAGCGAGGATGAGGTGGTGGCGCCTTCCCAGGTAACTGCAAGGGAGAGGGCTGGCAACCTCAGGGGTTTTCGGGCAGGAGCCCCATGCCAGGCTTCCGCCCACCTGATGCAGTCATAGGCTGAGGCCATCCCCCAGTTCAGGGATCTGGGCCCTACCTCTTCCCAGGGGCCCTGGGCAGGGTCCTGTCTGTGGAGCCAGGCTGTCTCCTCCCCTGAGGCCCCATTTCAGCTTAAAGCCATGAGTAGCTGACTCTTGGAGTCTGTAGAAAGGGCTTACCTTGATTTTGGGTGATTCTCAGATAAAAACATTCTTTAGCAGATGGGATTTCTTTTAAGGTTGTCATCTGTACATGGCAAGTGCTCGTGATTTTCCATTTGCATTAGTAGTAAGAAATTTTCTCTTTAAATGTGCCTGTGTAAAATATATACTAATTAAAATAGTGCAGGAAGTACACGTGAAGGGCTGATGTGCCCGGTCTTAGGGGTCCCTGGGCTGGTTTCTTCGCAGCAGGCCATGCACTCAGGCTGGGTTGGGCAGGGTCCCAGCCTCTTTCACAGTGGGCTTCTTCAGTCTCTCCTCTCAGGTTATGTGACCCCTGGGCTGACTCTGGCCAATTCCCAGGCTTCAAAGGCCATTCCCAGGCCAGACCCCAACCCTTCAGTTTCCTCTATTCCGGCCACCAAAGATGCCCCAGACGGCAAGCAAGAAATGGAGCCCCAACAAGCAGCAGCCACCATGTCCCCTCAAACAGGTGAGTTGAGGGCTGCAGGAAGGGCACAGCAGGATGTGGAGGCAGAAGGCAGTGGGCCCCTTCTTTCCCTCCCTCAGGAACAGTCCCACCAGCATGGGCCTGTCTGTCACCAGGGCCTCTCCAAGCGAGCCCTGGTACCCCTGCGTCAAGCCTAGAGGTGCTCATCAAAGTGCAGGGATGGCCCAGGCCCAGGTGTCTGGCTCCTGTGGTCTGGGACAGCCTGGAAGTCAGGTTATCCAGCCCTGTGGGATGCTGGTGCACCTGGCAGGGTGAGCCCTGCCTTAGAGGAAGTGCACCTTGGCTTGCCGAGTAGGCCTTGGCTCTTTAGCTGTCTGTTGACTTTTCTCCTAACAGATGGGCTTATGGCGTGGGGTGTAGGAACTCAGGGTAGCTCAGACAAAAGGCGGGAGCCACATTTGGAGAAGTCTCCAGCTCATGGCCAAGACCCCAGGTGATGGACTGACTTGCTTTAAAGCCTCAGACAAGCCCCTGGCCACTCTGGGCCCCTGTGTATTAACCATACCGGGCAGGGGGTGATGCATCCATTCGGGGTCAAGGCATGGCACACAGAAAAGGAAGGCAGGGCCGGCCCTGTGGCTTAGCGGTTAAGTATGCGCGCTCCGCTGCTGGCGGCCCGGGTTCGGATCCCGGGCGCACACTGATGCACCACTTCTCTGGCCATGCTGAGGCTGCGTCCCACATACAGCAACTAGAAGGATGTGCAACTATGACATACAACTATCTACTGGGGCTTTGGGGGAAAAATAAATAAATAAATAAATAAAATTATAAAAAAAAAGAAAGAAAAGAAAATTGGAAGGCAGACTGGAGTGCTCACATCACCTGGCCTGGGGCATCAGCCATCCATGACTCTTCCAGTGCTAAGGGACAGGTATCTCAAGTGGCCACACCTGGGACAGCTCTAGGTGTTCTGGGGTGTTTGTAGACAGAAAGCAGAGAAGTGAGCTGCAGAGAAGAGGTTTCCAGGGCTAACTGTGCCCTCCTCAGTTTCCCTCTCCAACTGCCTCCTGCCTTTGCAGGAAGCACCGAAGGACTCAATTGGGCCTCCGTCTGTCCTGGGACCCCCTCTGCTTGGCCTATCTACCCCAGCCCACCAGGGCTGCTTCAGACCCCACCCTGGGGCCCACTGCACGCTGTAGGGAACAGGCCCCTGCGACATGGAGCAGGGCCAAGCCACTGGGCACCTTTCAGAGCCCAGCATGTAGGAGCTCTTGTGCCTGTGAGGCCCAGAATGGAGAGGAGACCTGCCAAGTCACCTGGGAGGTTAGGGACAGCATTGGGACGAGTGCTGATGTCCCATGTGCTTCTCCTCCGGCCCCCCACCCCACCCCCAGCAGTGCTTGGGCTGTAGCTGCAGCTTGCCCAGTGCAGGTCAGCAGAAGAGGCATTGCTCACTTTCTTCCCCAGTGTTCTCTCTGTGGGAGGCGGGTGCGACAGGGAGACATTTAGAGGGGGCTGTGGAAGGTTTTCACACGTGTAGTCAGCACACAATTATCAAAGGATAGCAGAGGCGTGGAAAATTCTAAACAAAGGCTGCACCAGCAGTTACTCTGGCAGGCAGTAAACCTGCTCAGTCAGCCGCCACGTGCCTATGCACCACACCCATCACCCTCAAACCACCTGGACCCCTGACCAGAAGGGCCGTGGGCCCACTGTGTGTAGATGGGCATGAGCTGAATGGCTGCATGGGTTTTGCTCTTATTATGAATCTACAGTTTAGAATAGGGGGACCTCACTGTCCATCTAACCCCTCATTTTACAAACAGGGAAACAGAGGCCGTGGGAAGAAACAGGTTGGAGAGCAAGTTGGCGGTAATCAGACCTAGAACTCAGGCCTCTGGGCTCCTATCTCCCTCCTGTCTGACCTTTCATTTCGTTGATAGATTTCAGGCCCTTTCATTAACATGCTGGAGTCATTTTCCATCCCCAATCCAAACTTGAGTTCCTAGTGTGAGGAGACAAAGAAAAGATCTCTAAGTTAGGAACGGGCAGAAAGCTGTGAGCTCGGAGACCCAGTGGGAGCAGAGTGACCCCTGGGCCTCGCTTTCCTCATAGTGACCCCTAGGCCCCGCTTTCCTCATCTGTACCATCGTCAGAGGAGGTCAGTTTTATCCCTGGACCTCCTTGGCTCTTATACCACGAGAGGTCTGTTTCCCGACTCTCCCAGATCCGTGACCCCAAGTCCTCTCTCCGTAGGCAGAAGGGAGGCTAGCACCACACCTCAGAAGACCCGGAAGCCCAGGAAGGGGGCTGGGAGCCCCCAAGCCTCAACGCTGGCACTGCAGAGTGACATCACCCGCCGCCTCCTGAGCGAGCCCTGGCCCCTGAACGAGGCCCAGGTCCAGGCCTCGGTGGTGAAGGTCCTGACGGAGCTGCTGGAGCAGGAGAGGAAGAAGGCCGTGGATGCCGCCAAGGAGAGCAGCAGGAAGGGCCAGGCGGGCCGCAAGCGGAAGCTGTCGGAAGACCAGCCGGCCGCCAGGACCCCCAAGAGCAAGAAGAAGAAGCAGCTGGCGGCCGGGGAAGGTGGGGAGGCTGCTGTTTCCCCAGAAAAGGCCCCCAGGACTCTCAAGGGGAAGTCCAAGAGAGACCGAGCAAGTGGTGACATCAAGGAGAAGAAGGAGAAGCCAGAAGGGGAGCCGGGGACGGTGGAGGTTGAGGATGGAGACCCAGGCAACACGAAGAGCAAGAAGGAGAAGAAGAGATCCGACAAGAGTAAGTGGCCGCGGCGAAGCACATGTCCCCGGCCCTCGCTGAGGGCTGTCGGTCACCACGCGAGCAGGACGGGCCCTCGGCCAGCACAGAAGGGGTAGGGGAGGGAATGGGCTGTGCGGGGCCAGGTAGTGGCAAGGCCAGAGCTGGATCCTAGAGCACCGGGGCCAACGCTCCAGGGAGACACCTGTGGCTCAGGGCATGGCCCCCCCGGAGCCCAGTGCTCACTCACAGCTGCCGGCAGTCACGTGCACTTTCAGCTTCAGACTTCTTGGGGGTCCAAGCCCTCGGATGGCAGTTTCCCCTCAGAGGTGCTGGCTGCCCCTCACTGAGCCCTGTGCTAGACTCTGCATGCAGAGGGCCCACATTTAACCCTCGTGCCAGCCCTGGATGATAGGTGATATTTTGTTCCCATTTCACAGGTAGAAAGTGTCTTTTTTTTTTTTTTTGAGGAAGATCAGCCCCGAGCTAACATCTGATGCCAATCCTCCCCTTCTTTGCTGAGGAAGACTGGCCCTGGGCTAACATCTGTGCCCACCTTCCTCTACTTTATATGGGACACCGCCACAGCATGGCTCGACAAGCAGTGCATCGGTGCACGCCCGGGATCCCAACTGGCGAACCCTGGGCCGCCTCAGCAGAGCGCGTGCACTTGACTGCTTGTGCCATTGGGCCGGCTCCGAAAGTGTCTTTTTAAAATAAATTTGTAGGCCCGGCCCCGTGGCTTAGCGGTTAAGTGCGCGCGCTCCGTTGCTGGCGGCCTGGGTTCGGATCCCGGGCGCGCACCGACGCACCGCTTCTCCAGCCATGCTGAGGCCACGTCCCACATACAGCAACTAGAAGGATGTGCAACTGTGACATACAACTATGTACTGGGGCTTTGGCGGAAAAAATAAATAATAAAATAAATTTGTAGAAGTTTTAAAAACTGAGTTAAATAGTAAAAGTCCAAGTGGTCCATGGATGGGGCAGAAATCATGAGGCTGGCCCCAGGGGCTCTCAGGCCAGGGCGGGTGGTCACAAAGGCCTGTGGGCCTGTGTTTTGATGGCTCCCCAGGGTGTGGGGTGAGCTGGGGACCTGGCGTCAGCACTGAGTTCTAAGACCTCTGGAGACCTGCCCTGTGTGTCTCCCGACGTTGACCCCAACACTTAAGGTTAAAGTGTGCCGGGCCGGCCCTGTGGCTTGGTGGTTAAGTGCGCGCGCTGCGATGCTGGTGGCCCGGGTTCGGATCCCGGGTGCGCATCGAGGCACCACTTCTCCGTCCATCCTGAGGCCGAGTCCCACATACAGCAACTAGAAGGATGTGCAGCTATGACATACAACTATCTACTGGGGCTTTGGGGGGAAAAAATAAAATAAATAAAATCTTTAAAAAAAAAGGTTAAAGTGTGCCGTTTAGGAAGTTTTCTTTCTTCCCTTAGGAAAAAAGGACAAGGAAAAAAAGGAAAAGAAGAAGAAAGCGAAAAAGGCCTCAACCAAAGCCCCTGACGCACTAACCCAGAAGAAAAAGAAGAAGAAGGTAGCATGTGGTCCTGAAGGCTCTCAGGCCAGAAAAGGGATCCAAACTCAGTCCCCAGGGTGAATGTGATCAGCCCTGTCCTGTGCGTGTCAGGATACAGGGTGGGGCAAGCCAGCCCTGGTCCCTGCCCCCTTTCCATTCTCAGGGTCCAGTGCAGGGGGCTTGTGAGTTGTGACGCTAGAGAAGAGCCGGGGGGGATGTGCTCCCTGAGGAGGGACAGGGTCTGAGCGTGTGGAAGCCATGGGAGTGACCCTGTCTTGTCTGTGAAGTAGAGGGATGTTCTTGGGATGGGTAGAGAAAAGAGAGACCCCCCCCAGGGGGTAGGAAAGCTGTTGCAGGTTTCCAGGTGAGAGGAAACATTCCCTGGGATGTGTGTGCCCAGCTGGCAGGGTATCCCCACCGCAGAAACACACACCTGTCTGCTTCAGGGGTGTCAGAGGCTGATGGCCTGAACTGGGGAGTGAGGGGGTGGCCTCGGCACCTTATCCAGGTACAGTTCTCACCATGGCCATCAGGGTCTCAGCTGTGTTCAGAAAAGCTGAATATCCGTTGCTGTAAAGTCCTGGGCTCCTTCCTCGACAGCACATGGGGCACCATCCCTGCCCTGGGGGCGGGTGGGGGGACGTCCCTGTATACCCAGTATCTCCTGGGGGCGCTGCGAATCCTCAGGAGGGAACCATCACATCCCCTCCTGGTGGGGGCGGCATAGGTGGGGAGACGCTTCCGGTACAAGAGCCTCTCACTTCTCTCCTCGCAGAAGAAGACAGCAGAGCAGACAGTCTGAGGGCGCAAGGCGGTAGGTATGCTTCCCAGCCCAGGAACCCCTGCTGACTGTCCACTCCCTGGTGAGGGCGGGAGGGCAGCTCCGGCATCTGCCATGGTCCCGGGGAGCCAGGAGGGGCCTGGTAGCTAGGCCCCGAGGAGAAGGGGAGGCTGGAGAAAGAGGTTTTCTTCCTCAAAGTCGGGGGTGCTGCCAGGAGCCGGAGCTGCAGAAGCAGAAGGACCCAGGACAGCGGTGGCAGTGGCTGACCCTGAGCGCTGGCTGTGCTGCACCTCCTTCGGGAGGTGGGCCCTGGGCTAGCTCCTCTTTGTAGATGAAGATCAGGCTTGAGGGTCGGATACAGCTCTGTCTCTCCCTCACTGCTGTCCAGTTCCTTTTCCTTATGATTTTGTAACTCGAGGACGTTTCTTCTTGGGAAGGAAGATGGTTTGCTCCAGACAAGCCATTCCAATGGATTTGTGCTTCCCGGGTGGTGGTAAAGGGTTAGGTGCTCTACCCGCCGCCCCTCACAGGGCCACCTGGGCTGCTGGTGAGGATTAGATGAAGTGAAGCACGAGAGCCCTCAGCCCAATTCCTGGGACGTGGTCAGCGCTCAGAAGTGTCCACTGTGGCTGGTTAATGCCCCTCCTCTGCATCAGAGATGCTGGGTTTTGATTTTATTTTACTCTCTTTGATGGGGAAAACGGTCGGGAAATCTTACGTCTGGATGTGTTTCCTTCCCCCAGAGATTTCTCTGCCAAGTGGTGACCAGCCCCATGCCTCTGCCCTCTGCCCACCATGGGTTGGAATTGAATTTTTAACTTCCCCTCCCTCCCCAGAAGAAGACGGCTAGCCGCAGTGTCTGTGCTGGCTGAGCCGGTGAGCCCTGCAGAGAGGCTGCTCCAGGAAGAGGAGGTGCACCCAGCTCCGTGACCTCCACTCACTGGCCCCCTGCCTCCTGTTCCAACAGAACGCCTCGTAGAGATGTGTACAGTATATATATTTTTTTAAGTGACCTGCCCCTCCCCCCTCCAGCCCAGCATGCCCAGAGGCCTCCGGACTTGCCACCTCTTTGCCCTGCAGACCCAGTGAGGCCCAGCCTGTGGCTCCTTCCGTGTCCTTGGTTTCCAGCTGATGCTGAGGCTTTGTCCTCCATTTGTCAGTCTTTCCGCATTTTGTTCGTGGTTTTTTTGTAAGAACTCAGAAAATAAAAGACTCGAAGGAAGGGTATAAGTTCCTAGTGTATCTGGGGCAAATGTCTTGCAATTGACTTATTCTTGGAAGGGAGAGTCTGGCTGACGCTTGGAGGTGAACAGACCATCGCTCAGGATTTGTTCTTGACCATGTATCAAGGCCCTGGATACTGTGGGGAGTGGGAGAGTTTGCCAGAGAAAAAGAATCCATGAAGTACCCTGGGTGCTGAATTGGGGTGGGGAAGGCTTCCTGGAGGAGGTGGCGTCTAAGCTAAGGGTGAGCTCAAGCATGGTTGTGGTTGGTTTCCAGATGCTGGGGTAGGCCAGGCAAATACCCAGAGGCAGGAAATGGAAAGGGGGCCTTCCGAGCCCCCTTTTGAAGTTAGGACTGAGCTGGAGGCAGGCCCTTTTGGAGTACCTGGTAGAGAGCAGCTATGGTAGGCACAGTAGAAGCAGGAAAGCCAGTTAGGACTGAGTTGCCCTCATGTCCAGGTAACAAAGGTTCTGTGATGATGAAGGCAAGAAGTGGATGAACTTGAAAGATGTGTCAGGGTGATGCCTCAGGACTTGGTGATGGCCGGCAATGCAGAGGCCCAGAGCAGTGGAGCACCAGAGGCCATGGGGGCTCTCTCCGGGGCTCTTAGTCTTCTGCTAGAGACGGCAAGAGGCCGTGCAAAAGAGAGAGTGCTGGGCTGGAGGTCTTGGAGACCCAGCTTGGCATCCAGCTGTACCCTCCTCCCGGGGAGCTCTCTCTCCCTACAAGTTGCTCTAGAACAGAGGCCGCAGAGTAGTGTACTCGGGGGCTTTGTTGACCCACAGCAAGTCTTTAAACTTAGAAATGGAGAGATTTCACTGAACTTCTTGACTTTGGGCTCTTCTTTTAAAGTCAAGAAATCGGGCAACAAGGGCCTCCATTCCGTCCTGACAGCAGCCAGCTGGGACCCTCTGTTATTGCCGTCTGTTATCACACTTGTACCGTTCTCAGCATAGAGATGGAAATGGGACGGGGCGATGGGAGCTGGACCCAGAGGAGCTTGCACTTAAAGAACTATGGGCAAGAGCTTATTTCTTTTTGGAAGTCAAGAGTGTTCCTCTGTGTTAAACATGGAAACCAAGTGTGTCTGTGTCCAAAGTCTCCCACCCCCGCAGCCCGGCCCGGCCCCCCAGGCATCTGTGTTTGGGCTCCCTGTGCTGCGTTCTCCCACCCAGAGCACTGAGTTCAAGGTCTTCAGTTACCTCCTTGGGGTAAAGGACCCGGATCCCAACAGAACAGCCAGGAGCTGCAAGTGTTCTACTTACTACCTTTTATTCTCACGGGAGCTGTGGCCCTGAGGGCTGGTGACAAGCTTGCTGAGCAGAGGGAACTGGGGGTTGGCAGAAAGTAAGGAGGGGTTGTGGGTGGAGAGGCTGGTTTTTCCTGGCCAAGTGATGCTCGGGAGAGGGAAAGCGTGGCTCATTCCCCCAGTTAAATAGGCTGGAAAGCTGAGGCCAAAAGCCAGAAGGGAAGGGACAGCAAATGTGTCAGGCCTAGGGCTTGGGGCAGCGTCATCCCCTCTCCCTGCACCTGCCCACCTCATCCACGGGCCTAGGTCTTGGAGCTCCAGATTAGAGGCTACTGTGGTGTCAGAGATGGAGGTCAGCCTAGCTCTTGCTCCACCTCCTTGGGCCTGGCGTCTCTGCTGATGGATGGGGTGTTGGGCATCCTGCATTGTTCATCTGTGCTGTTCTGAGGTGATTTCTTGTGTCCGAGGATGATGGAGAACCAGGCACTGGAGTCTCATAGAATGAGGTGCAGGGTGGGTGATGGCGGGTGGAGCAGGGGGGTGTAAGGGAAGGGGAGAGGGGCTAGGGTTGGGGGACAGAAGGGAGCAAGGAAGCTGCGGCCGTGCAGGGCTGGCTCGGTGCTGGTGGCTGCATGTGCTGTTCTCAAATGCCTACAGAGAGAGATGCAGCAAGTTAGGGATGGACTCACCTGTTGTTCCTGCCCCTTCCCAGCATCCTGGGACTTCAGAGCAGTTGAGGACTCCCCACCCTCCACTGCCGCCTGCTTGGGTACAAGTACTGACCATTATATAGCCCCCCACAACCCCTAGTCCTCGTCTGTGAAACGAGGGAAGGGACAGCAAATGACAACCCAGGGAGGTTGGAGAAGGGCCGGGGGTCATGCTGCGCTGGGCATCCACCCACAAGGGAGTCAGCCCCTCTGGGAATAAGCTGCTGAGGACCAGTGCCCCCTGCAGGGGCCCTTACCTGGGGTCAGATCCTGCTTGGTAATGCCCAGCCCAGACGACAGATCCTCACTTTCCAGTGGCTCTGCAAAAGAGCAGCAAATCCCTTTGTTACTCGTCATCCAGCCTACTGCACCCGTTGGCAAGGGGCCTGGGGCTAGTTCTTCCCAACCTAGCCACAGGCCGAGTGCCTGGGAGAGCAGGTGCCAGATGGAAGAGTGCTTCCTGGATGGTGGCCATGAAGTGGAATTGAAGAGCAAGGCCAAGAAAGAGGGTGATGAGATGGGTGGGTCTGTAGCACTCATGGAAGCATAAGTGGATGGTGCATGGATGGTGGAGGTCACAGATGAAAGGACTGAAGGATAATTAAGTAGATGAGCGTGGATGTAAAGAGAAATGACAGATGAACAAACAGACGAGGAATGCACATGTAGGTGGAGGGAGAAATGGGTGGATGCATGGCTGAGGTGGCTGCCCCCTGGAATGTCCTGGCCCCATGTGCCCCAGGAGGGATCTTTTGCCCCTCAGCCCTCCTGGTCCTTCCTGCTCCTTTGACACTCCCTGGCATGCTGGCTACTGCTTACCACTGCAGTTATGGTGCCCGCGGCTCCTGGTGTGGGGGACCTCGGTGCCGTTGGGGAAGACGCACCAGCAGTAGCCGGTACTCCCATAGCACTGGAGCGGCATATAGTTGCCGTTCTCGTCGCACTGGGGCTTGAACACGCCTGGGTGGATGGCAGGGATGTGGCTGACCTCTTCCTGGCACTTGGTCAGTACTGAAGCGACAGGCATGGTGAACACAGTGAGTGAGCGGGCTCTGGGCCTGGGTCTCAGCAGAACCAGAGATCCACATACCACTGCTGTGGGCCTAATGCCTTCTGCCCAAGTGATTATACTCTCGCTCTACTCATTGCACAGATGGGGAAACTGAGGCCTGGACCAACAAGGTCCAAGATCAAAGAGGAAGTGAATGGCTATGTGGCTAATTCATCCTAGAGTTGGACAATTTCTTCTGACACTCAATGCCTATTAAAGTTTGGAATTGCACCTATGATTCTGATTTCTAGAGAAAAGCAATGGACACCTTGGTAAGTCTGAGCTTCTGTTACTGGGGGTATCCAAGTAGAAATAGGGGTTTGTTTCAGGATGTTGTAGAGGGGATTCAGACATCAGCTGGGAGTTGGTTGATATGGCATCCAAGGTGCCTTCTATGAATCTATGATAGAAAAATCAGGCCCACGGCAGGGTGGGCCATTGATCTGCCACTTCTGAAACCAAAGCCTAGAGGGAAGAGACTTGTCCAAAGTTGCACAGCGAATCAGACAGCACCAGGAGGACATGGTGCTCTTGAAGGCTTTAGGGCCGAAAATCCTGGTATACATTGTCCACGAAATGGAAGAACTCCAAGGCCCCCTTGTCTGGCACCTGCTGACTGTGTGACCTCTGGGAGGCCCCTCTGAACCCAGCCCCCTCACTGGAACCTGTGGAGTGCAGTGCTGGGTGGGGAGGGTCACTGTGACGACTCCTGGGATGTTGCGGGTGGCTTTTGCTCCAGGCCCACTTGGGCAGTGTGATCCTCCACAAGGGAGGTCGCCTCCTGCAGGGAGGCCTCTGATCCCGTGGGCCCTGAGGCAGGGTGGGGGCTGAGGGGCAGCCGAGCCCAGAAGGAACAGGCAGGAGAGATGAGTGAGAGTGAGGGTGGCTGGGAGAGTCCGGTGCGATGAGGGAAGGCCCCAGGCCCGCACCCTGCAGCTCCAGAGGAGCCCTGGGGGAGCTCCAGAAGCCCGGGCACCGCAAGGCTCCACTCCCTTTACCTTTTGTTGGAGCATGAGTGGGCTTCTCCTCCAGTGAGTTCTTGCTCATTTCAAACAAGAGCCACTGATGCATCCAGTTCTCAAAGACCTAATGGGGATAGAGGCAGGGGGTGAGGCTCAGTAGCCCTCTCCACCCCTGCCTGGCTTTGCTCTCCCAAAACCCCTGAGTCCAGCTACAGCCTGGTTCCCCCTTAAGACCCTCAGGGCTTGGTCGAGGTGGTTCCTCAACCCCAAGCACTCTTCCGTGTTTGTGGCTTTGTAGGTGCTAGTAAGCCTCCTCCAGCTTCCTGAGAATGCCTTCCCTGGCCCACGCCCCACCACACCTCTTCCCAGCCCTGCCTTAGATGTCAGGAAAGAGAGGGCACCAGTGCAGGAAAATCTGCTGACCTTCCAGTCCAGGCCCTCCATGGTGTTCTTGAGGTGTTTCAGGTTCTCTGGGAAGCTCCCTTTCAGCTGCGGGTACACCTTCAGGGGGTCAGCCTTCTGCAAGATAGCAAGGCAAGAAGGAAGGTTAAAGAGTTCCCTGGCAGGCAAGGTGAAATGTGCAGCCCGTGTTCCCCCGGTCCTCCATTCTGAAGGGTGTACCCAAGCTGCACTAAGCTTGGACCCTGGACCTCAGCTATGATGGAGCTGAGGAGGAGAGTAGGCTGTAAGAGCAGTCTAGTTGCTCGGCTACAAGACCCCAGGGCTGGGAGTCAGAAGACCCAGGTTCCAGGCCCAGTTCTACCAATAACCCCCAGTCTTCTCATCTTTCTCATCTCACCTTGCAGACTCCTACTCATCTTTCAGGTCTCACCTCCTCCAGGAAGACTTCCTTGACCCCACTCCCACCCGCCAGCTAGGTTGGGTCCTCTGCCTCTTTCTTCACAAAGCCACCTGTACATCCCTCATCACCTGGTCATTTGTCTGTCTCCCATGCTAGCCTGGGATCTCCATGGAATTGGGAGCTGGGTCTGATCATTCCCCACTGTGGGCCCAGAGCCTGTACAGTGCCTGGCACAGAGTAGACTTGCAGTAAAAATTTGAAAAGGAAAAAATGGGCATCTTGAGCAAGTCACTTCCAGGCTTTGGGCCTCGGTTTCTCCATCTCAAACACAAAAATGCGGGGAGTGATGGGGCTGGACTCCATATAACGTCTGAGGGCCACACTTGCATTTCTTCCCTAATCTGGTGAGTCGTGTTGAATGTCTGCTGTGGCCCGGGCACAGTGTAGCCCTGGCGTGTGGCTGTCCCAGGGGCCTGTGGGCAGGCAGGGCCACCCAGCCGAGGCCCACTCACCAGGAGCAGGTGCATCACGTGGTCCTGAGTCATGTTGCCGTACTTGGTGGCATTCTGCATGGGCTGTGGAAGGAAGGAACAGGGTCACCAGCACTGGCCCATGGAGGAGGGGCCCTGGATGGGGAGCCAGCAGCTGGGGTCTAGGCAAGAGTCTGGAGTCCCAGGTGCACAATGGGCCCATCTCTGGCACCTCCAAATGTGAGAGCTTGACCGAGTCATTTGACCTTCCTGCTTCAATGTCCTTATTGGTCAATCTGCATAAGCTTTCCTCCCAGGGCTTTGTGGACAGCAGAGAGTTGTGTGGACAGAAACACTATCCACATATGGTATCAAGGGCCTTGAGAAGGGAGCACTGTGAGATGCTACGAAAAATGAGCGCTTAGTAAGCTGTGGAGGGCGGGGCCCTCCTCCCGGGGATGGTCCCCAGAAGCTCTTTCCTCCCCCACACCTGGGAGCCCTCTTCTTCCTGAGGTGGGCCCTGTCCTCCCCCAGCAGTCAGGACCCCCTCCCCAGCTGGACTTTCCCTGGGTCAGCTGTCCTCCCCTGTCCTTTGGCACCTGCCCTCCATGCAGGCTGGACAACACTTCCCCCTTCCCCGCCCTGGCGTTGTCCTTACCCCCAGGCCTTCCATGGGCAGCGCCTGCATCAGCATGGGGGTGGCTACCCGAATCTTGCTCAAAGGTTTGGCAGCTGTGGGGGCAGGAGGTACAGGATGAGTGACCCCAGTGCCCAGGGAAGAGGGGACTCAGATCTGGGGACGATGGTCTCAGACCCTGATGAGAAGGGGCTGGAATTCCAGACCAGAGGGAGAAGACAGTGGGCCCAGCTGGGTGCGGGAATGGTGAGGGACGGAGGCGGGGGTGTCAGGACAGAAGTGGGGCACGCACACTTGGGCAGCTTCATGCGCAGGTTCTCCAGCTGCAGGTTCTGTGCGGTGACCGTCAGCTTGTCCAGCCGGCCCTGCTGCTGGTACAGGAAGTAGGCGGTGGTGGCCTGGCCAGCCAGGAGCAGAGCCACCAGGACAGAAAATCCTGTGTATAGGGCTCCGCGGCTGCACTTGCTGTTGGGGGAAGGGGATAGGTCAGAGGACAGTCCACGGAGGTGGCTGCCCCAAGAACTGGCTGGGACCTGCCATGTCCATCAGCCCCCCCCAAGCTATTCCTAACAAACACAAGCTGTCAGCACAAACGACAAGTGCCTCTGGTCACGCAGTTGAAAACATTCCCCCAACCCCCTGCTCCAACCATCGCTGCCCCTGCCGTCCTCCCGAGGAGAAATCCTGGAGCTGGCCCTGGGCCCGGGCTGAGTGGGGAAGCGCCAGGACAAGTGCCGTGTCCTCTCTGAGCCTCAGTCCCACCTATGCAATGAGGGGTTGAGGTGGAGGGTCTCCCCAGATTCCCTCTGTCAGGAGTCTCCTGAGGATCAGGGCTACCCTCCAGGGGAAGGGGGTTTTCACCCCCTACCCACCCAACCCCTGCAGTGAAAGCAGAGAAAGGGAAGACAGTGGGACCCAGACAGCAGAGCAGGGGCCCACCTGAATGAGAGAAGCGAGGCCTTGACATACTAGGAGTGGGTTGGGAGCACTGGACACTATCAGAGTGGAGCAGGGCCAGGCACCAGCCCCTCTGGGGCGCGTCCTCTGCCCCAGACTCTCCGTGTGTCTGTGAGCAAGTCTCTGCCATTCTCTGGGCCTGTCACCCGGGTACCCCCTCACCTCAGCAATTCTAGGATTTGATGGCTTTCCTCTTTGAAGTAAGATCTGACAGTGACCACAGAAGTATTTCAAATGGTAATATCCAACTGGGGGGGTTTCAGCAGGAGTACATTGCCTGAGCCTGTGTGACCTGGAAGAATTTCTCACCTTCTCTGGCCTAGCTGGCTGCACAGGGCTGGGTGGCCAGGCCTCAGGGAGCCCTTGTAGCTGTTGGCCTTGGATGCGGTTTAGGGGAATGTAAGGATCCTGCCCCAGGACCCTGAGAGTTCCTGACCTGTTTTTTCCCACCCCACTGAGGAGTGGGACTACTAGGACCCCATTGGAAATTGTCAGGGTGAGCTTGCGCCGTGCTGACTCCAGCAACCAGCAAGGATGGTTTAGGAAACTCCAGGAGACCCTTCTGCCTAGTAACTCATGACATCACAAACATGGCTCATTCTCACTGGGGAAAAGGAGGAGACCAGAGAGCAAGGGAAAACAAATCCCACTCCTTGGACTTCCCAAGGAACGGGGGTGGCCTGGCCTCTAAAGGTGGTGGAAAGTCCAAACAAGCCTGAGTCATGCCTGGGTTCAAGCTCTCCAGGTCATTCCCCCCATGCACACCACTTCTGCAAGCCCACACCCAGTCTAGTCTCAGCTCCACTTCCCACCATCCCTTCCCTGAACTTCAATTTCTCATAAGGCCTAAAGATCTAGAGAATCATATTGAAGATGGGACTGTAACCTGAACTGGAATCTTGGCTCTGCCGTTCCCTGAGCTTGGGGACCAGGGGCAAGTCAATCTCTGAGGGAGTAACTTGAGGTAAGAACATCTACTCAAAGGGTTGTTATATTAAGTAAGATCATGAGAGTAAAGCTCTTGGCTCCATACCTACCTAGCACATAGCTAGCGCTCCATAAGTAACACTGTCTACTATTCTCAAAGAAGGTAATAATTAACTTTAGCATCTGGTTTCCTTCCTCTTTATACATCTTGAAGCCCTGACGTCCGTTTCTGGAAGAGTGCCAAATCTTTGTCACACCCCCTCTTCATTTCCTCCTTTCTACTATCTTCGTCTTGAATAAAAAAAAGTTATTGACCAAAGTCAAGAGCCAACCAGAACTAGAAGGAATCATGAGACAAGTGTTGCCAGGCAGAAGTGTTCACGAAATGGTCCGAAACAGGCTCAAGTCTGGAACGGCCTGAGCACACAGGGCAGGCTAGTGTTAGAAGCAGTAACTGAACTAAAAGGAAAACCAGAGGAGGATTTGATGAGGGCGCACCCTCTCTGTACACAGAGCCCACACTGGGTCTGCAACTCACTGGGTGGCCTGAGCTCAGAGGAGTCCCCCCTCCCCTCCCTGCAAATCATGCCTCTAGGAGGGGCCAGATGGTATAGAGTGAGCTCAAACTTTGAAATCTGACTAGTCCTGGGTTCAAATTCTGGCTCCAATATTCACTAGCTGTGATAACTTAGGTAAATTACTTACTAATATGAGCCTCAATTTTCTCTTATGTAAAAATGGGATGATAAAATACCTGACTCATAGGGTTACTATGAGAATTAGGACTGAATTTAGCATTTAGTTACATGTCTGGCACATAACTAATCACAACAATTACTAACAGTGGCTGACGACTGGTGACAGGTATATAGTGAATAGGAACTATTATCATGACTATTATTATTATTGTTATTATTATTATTATTATTACCAAGACTCAGAGAGAAGCAGTGATTTATCCAAGTCACACGTGACAGTAGCAGAACCTGGACCAGAATCCAGCCCTCACAAGAGAATCGGCCCTCCTAGCCATGAGATTCCCCAGGATTTGCATAGGCCACTGCTCTAATGGTCTATATCTGGTTACTGTCCCCAGAACACAGTTCCTCACAACATCTCGGAGTGTCTCTCTCAAACCACTTTCTGCCTGGCAACAGCTGACATCACAGCTGTAAATCCCCGTAATTTGCAAATTACTTTGTGGAGATTGGGGGGAGGGGGGACATTGGGGTGGCTGCATTCTAACCACCTCTTCTTTTTTTTTCAAGGGAACACATGGATGAGACCATCTTGGGGCTGGGAGAGAGGCACAGGCAGGGCATGGCCCACATCAACACTCAGTCCCTTCTAGAAATTTAGCCAGAGCCCCCCTCGCCCTTTCTTGACCCCCTTCCAACATCTCTCGATCCCTCCTGTGATGGCAGACGTCTCCATCTACTCTATAGACACCTGCAACCATAATTCACCTGATACAAACACATACACCCATCCACGGAAATTAGGAGGAGACTCCTCTGATGAGCTGCTCTACCACTCTCCTTTAGAAACTCTGTTTCTCCATCTAAGATCCATAACCTTGTCAAAATCTGGCCCAAGGTTGCTAACCCAGAGTTCACAGCTCAGCTTTGGCGAGGGCGGGGGGCGGTCCGTGAAGTCCTTGATATCGTGTGAAACTCTAGGGAGAGAGTCCAGAGCTCTCTTCTCATTCTCAGAAGGAAGTGCATGATGCACAGAAAGTTAAAACCCCTGCCCTATAGGAGCTCCCTCATTTTACAGGAGGGAGAACTGAAGCCAAGAGCGGGCCGGAGACTCGCGCAGAATCACCCAAACGGTTGTGTTAGAGTAGAGCCTGAACCCGAGCCTCCTGTGACTCCCGGTCTAGTGCTCCTTCCACATCACCAGTGCACGTCTGTGTGGTCCAGTATTTGTGTGCTCTCACACATACCTCTCCGGGGCTCCAGGGCGCTGGCCCAAGATGGGCACCTGCTCATGGTTGGAGATGAGGTCGCGCTGGTCTTCCATGGCTCTGGCTTCTGACCTTCCCCACGCCTCCTGCTGCTGCTGCCGCTGCCGCCGCCGCCTGCGTGTCTGGGACGCTGAACCCCTGGCTCACCTCTTGAAGTTGGGGCTGAGGAGGAATCTGATTCGTCCACAAGAAGCCACTCCGCCCACCTGGTCGAAGTGGAAGTGAAAGCCACAAAGCTGGAAATACCCCCACTGGGCAAAGCTGCCTTTACTGGGACAGGATGGGGAGGGGGAGCTCCCTAGGCAGGTAGAAAGGCCAGCACGCTTCCATTGGCTGCCCAGGGCCCTCATCACTTGTTTCCGGGCAGACCTTTGGATTCATAAGGCTCCTTGGCTATTTGGAGAAACGGGCAAATGTTCACTCCCTAGATGAGAAATCACTTTGAAGCAGAAAATGCCTTTGTTTGTCTCCCCCTCTCACCCATAGATGAGTGGGCACAGGAAGGCGCTGCTCACCCTCTGTGAGCTTAGGCAAGTCCCTCTCCTTCTCTCTGGCCTCAGTTATGTCACCTCAAAAACCGGGGAGGAAAGTTGGAGTCAGTGTTCCCTCTGCTCCCTTCTATCTCAAGCACTTTATGAACCTGACTCCGTGGTTCCAAAGTCTCGGGTACTAATATTTCCACCACTTACTAAGCCCTCCTCTGTACCAGGCACCGTGCTAATCCTTTTACAGGCTTTGTTTCATTTCATCTTGATGGTGACCCTTTGAGGACTGTTTTATTTTATTATCTCCATTTACACATAGGGACACGGAGGCTTTAAGAGGCTCCGCGCTTGTCCAGGGCCATGCATCCAGGAATTGGTGGAGCCTGTGTTTTTAACCACTCTATCCTTCTGCCTCCTGGTGCTCAAATTGTGGGGTTCAAATCAGGAGAGTGGGGGCATCTGCAAGGAGGGAAGGAGGAGGGACCAGGAGAGGGTGCCCGGGGGAGATTTAACTGTGTTGGCAAGGTTTTATTCCTTACTATCTGTGACTTGTATACCATATTTGTTTTATTAATCTTTGTGTCTTTTGTGTGTTTTAAAATTTGCATTAATAAGTTTTTTTAAAATTTAAAGACTGTGGTTCTAAGATTCAATGAGTCTTAGATTTCAAGAGTCAAGGGAGGGCCAGCCCCGTGGCTCAGCGGTTAAGTGCGCGCGCTCCGCTACTGGCGGCCCGGGTTCGGATCCTGGGCGCGCACGGACACACCGCGGCTGAGGCCGCGTCCCACATACACCAACTAGAAGGATGTGCAGCTATGACATACAACTATCTATTGGGGCTTTGGGGGGAAAATAAATAAATAAATTTAAAAAAGAGTCAAGGGAGATAGTATATGTATTTTGGAGGGAGGGAGAAGAGCAGACATGGCCTTTGATGCAGCCAGGCCTGAGTTCAAATCCCGAGTCAGAAACATCCTAGCTGTATGACTTGAGCCAGTCCCTCGACCTTTCTGAATTGATTTTCTCCTGATAATAGAAAGAGATAAGAATGAGACCAGAGTCAACATGATGGTTACCATGACCACCTCAAGGCTGAGCTATGGGCAAAAATAAAAAATTACATTTTAACCTTGACTGTCACCAGATGGCCAGAGAACAATGCAGTAGTTTTTCCCTGCAATGGTTAGGACATTTAGAAAGCCCTGGGTACAAGATAAACTGTAGCTGGAAAGGGCAACCAATCAGAACCGGACTCAGCCTTAACCTTGCACACTCTGCACTTTTTGCCTTTAAAAACCAGCCACCCCAAGACCAAGGGGGGGCTCATCTATCAACTTGCTGGCCGAGGTGTACTTCCCCGGCTTGCAAACCTTTTAATAAAGCCTATCTTTTCTTTAAAACTTACATACTTGCCTTGTAAAGCTGCTCATTTCAGTTAACACTCCTTTGTAAAGTAAGGACAATAATACTTAATTTGCAGAGTTGTTAGATTAAATAAGCATTTAGCGCAGAGCCTGGTACCATAGGAGATGCTCAAGAAATGAAACTGTTATTATTCAAATATTTACCATTAAGATATTTTCTGGATAATTTGGACAAATGAAATCATATATCCGCACAAACTTGCACATGAGTGTTCATAGCAGCTTTATTCATAATAGTCAAAACAACTGGAAACAACCCAAATGTCTATCAACAGGTGACTGGATAAACGAATTGTGGTTCATCCATACAATGGAATACTAATTAGCAATGAAAAGGAGTAAGCTACTGATACCCGCACTACCTGGATGAATCTCAAAATCATTATACTATATGAAAGGAGCCAGAACAAAAGAGTATATACTGTATCATTCCATTTAGATAAAATTCTAGGAAATGCAAACTAACTTACAGCGATAGAAAACAGAGGAGCAGTTGCCTGAGGATTGAGGACATGCAGTGCAGGAAGGGACGAGAGAGGGATGACAAAGGGGCACAAGGAAACTTTTGGGTGTTATGGTTATGCTCATCATCTTTTTTTTTTTTATAATTTTATTTATTTATTTATTTATCCTCCAAAGCCCCAGTAGATAGTTGTATGTCATAGCTGCACATCCTTCTAGTTGCTGTAT